ATCCCCCCACACCTCGCCTACGGGGAGAACGGAACAGGTAGGCTGTCCCCTGTCCCCACAGCCACTGCCTCTGCTCACTGAGCCCCCTCCACCCGGGAAGGCACTGGACCCCTACTTTTCTCTGAGGAGAGAACATCCCTCCTGGGTTTGGGGCAGGAGGGTGGTGATGGGACAAAGAGCAGAGACTTAGGAAATAAACACAGTGTGAGACCAGCTTTTCTGGGGGCCACAGTGTCCTCAATTGTAAAATGCATGGACCCCTGTTGCTATGCAGAGTTAAAAAACCAGGGGCATAAGAGACTGCTGTGAAGTTCTCTTCCACTGGTGGTCCTCAGTCCCCCAACCCCATCCATGAGGTTGCTATTAGAGTTCATGAGGATGCTATTAGAGTTGACGGCAGTGCACTGGGAGACCAGGTGATGGTGGTTGGGGTCTCTGATTTAGGGGCATCCTCTTCTGGGCTACTCCCAGCCAACCCTCACCTTCCTCCTGGTCTAGGAGACAAGATCCCCGGCTCAGCTGTGCTGATCTTTGACGTCCACATTATTGACTTTCACAACCCTGTGGATCCTGTGGAGGTCAAGACTCTGTCCCGAGCTCCTGAAAGCTGCAACGAGACGGCAGGGCCTGGGGACTTTGTCCGCTACCATTACAACTGTTCTCTCCTGGACGGCACTCGGCTCTTCTCCTCGTGGGTCCGGGCTGGGGCGGGGCCGAGGGCGGAGCCTGAGCTGGGGTGGGGCGGGGCCTGGGCCAGATAGGGGCGGGGGCCGAGGGCGGAGCCTGCACTGGGAATGGGCAGGGCCTTTGGGAGGGGTCCTTGATGGGCGGAGCCTTTTCTGGAGTGGGGCGGGGCAGGGGCGGAGTTGACATTGAAGTGGGAGGGGATAGGACGAGATGGTATAGGGCAGACTCATCAGGGGGCACCCTGATTCTGGCTTCTTTCAGATGTTTCCCTTTTGGGAGAGGAGTGGAGCGCACTGTGGGAGTGTGCTGCTGTTTCTATCTTGGGGAAACAGGCCACACTGGAAGGGCAGTGCAAGATGAGATTCTTTAGGCCCCCTGTGCAGGCCCCCCAGAGGGCTCTGCTGGGCCTTGGGAGTCCAGGGCAGACGGGTGGGTGCTGACCCTGGCTCCTGCTCTTCTCCCAGCCACGACTACGAGTCCCCCCAGGAGGCGACTCTGGGGGCTAACAAGGTGATCGAAGGTCTGGACACCGGCCTGCAGGGCATGTGTGTGGGAGAGAGGCGGCAACTCATAGTCCCCCCACATCTGGCCCATGGGGAGAGCGGAGGTGAGTGGCCTTGCCCACCTAGGAACTCGCTGGCTAGCGGGGGGGAGTCTGAGATGCCTCCTAGATGATTCTGTAAATATTCCATGCTCCTGCTTTGCAGCCCCTGAGGGGAAACTGAGGCAGGGGAGCTGGGGAGCACCTCAGGAAGTCTGCGTAGCCTAATTGGGATTCTTTCCTCCCTGCCCCCAGCGCGGGGTGTCCCCGGCAGCGCTGTGCTGCTGTTTGAGGTCGAGCTGGTATCCCGGGAGGATGGGCTCCCACCTGGCTACCTCTTTGTATGGCACGAAGACCCTCCTGGCAACCTGTTCGAAGGCCTGGACCTCAACAAGGATGGCGAGGTCCCCCTGGAAGAGGTGGGCCGGGAGCTCTGTCCTGATAGCCATTGCTGTGTTTCCCGAGGCCGTCTGCAGGGGTGGGGGTGGGGGTGCTTCAGATGGAACCACAACCCATCTGCATGCAAGTTCCTGCCTGCCTCTGCCTCTCAGAGCAGCCACCCCTGGTAATCCCCTGCTAAGCGCAGCCTGTCATCCTTGGCCTGCTTGTCCTCGCCTTCTGACCCATTCTCCCTACCTGACTCCCTGACAGGCCGCCTCCCCCATAGCTCTGGCCCCCTGAGAGTGGTGGTGGTGGTGGGGGTCCTGGGGAAGGAAGCATGTCCTTCAAGGTCCTTCCTAAGGTGGCCCAGAGCTGCTCAGACAAGCCCCTCCCAACATTCTCTGGTCTTTTTCGTTGTTGTTGTTTTACGGCCATACTAGGCAATGCTCGGTTTACTCCTGGTTTGCACTCAGGAATGACTACTGGTAGTGCTCAGAACCAAGGTCAGCCCCAGGTAAGGCAAACAACTTCCCTGCTGTACTATCACTCCAGCCCCTTCTCTGGTCTCTCTTGCCCCCAGTTCTCCACCTTCATCAAGGCTCAAGTCAGTGAGGGCAAAGGACGCCTGATGCCTGGGCGGGACCCCGAGAAAACCATCAGCGACATGTTCCAGAACCAGGACCGCAACCAGGATGGCAAGATCACGGCCGAGGAGCTGAAGCTGAAGTCCGACGAGGACCAGGAGCGGGTCCATGAGGAGCTCTGAAGGCTGGGGTGCTGCTCCCAAGGCCATGGCCCACTGCTGCGGGCTGCTGGCTGTGGGACTGACCTTTCAACACCCGCCCATCCCTCTACGGGGTGCCTCCCTCTGTGGGGGACCCCCTGAGTCGGTGGGCCTGCTGCTCTCCCGTGATCCCTCTTGGGGAAACAGCAGCCTAGGTGGTGGCATCTGGTGGGTTTCCCCTTCCAACCCTGAACCCCTTTCTGGAAAGTTCTAGCATTACCAAGGAATGTGGGGGCTAAGTGGGTGGAGTGGGGTCCTGCCAACCCTAGATTTACCAGACACTGAATAGGGCCAGCCCTGGATTTCCCCAAACTTCCTTTTTGTTGGTGCTTCCCCTACCCACCCCCAACCCCGTGGCCAGCACTACCTGTGAGGGCAGCTCCCCTAGAACCACAGCAGGCTAGCGGTACCCTCCCCGTCTGCCCCTCACCACCCCATTGCCTTCCTCCCTCAGCTCTGGCTGGCTCTTAGGGAAGGTGTGGGGGGATCCAGGAAGGCTACCCTACCTCACCTGTCCTGTCCCCCTTTGCCTGTCCTACATTCCCCACCACACAGGTGATCTCTGGGTCCCAGGAGCCTGATTTTGTGACCTCTTTCAGCCTTCAAGATTACTGTCTCTTGTGGTCTGGGGTGGAAAGGAGGACTCAGACTATGGAGTCTTGGTTTCAGTGCAGAGATGATGTGGAGGGGGCTCATCGGGACCCAAGGGGGCCGTAGAGATGGGCCAGCACCACACTCAGAGCTTAAACTGGTGCCACAAGTTCCCTTTTCCTCGTGTTGAATAAAAAAATGAAACTAGAGAGATCTAGGCATGGTCTTTCAATGTCTGTGTCCGTGTATGGTATGTGTGTGTCTGTGTACGGGTGGCTCAGAACTGGAGACTGAAGGAAACAGATTGGGGGGAAGAAGCAAAATGGGTGGTGTCTAGGGCTGTTTACTGGGGACCCTGGCTCCCTAAGTCTCAGCTGCTCCCTGTCCTGGGGCCAACAGGGAGTGGGGTAGGGGTAGGGGGTCAGTGGCCTTGCCACTAGAAAGCGAACAGTGTGCCGGGAGAGAGGACCCCATATTCCGCTATTCCTGCAGGAGACACACAAGACCCCACCCCCACTGAAATGAGGGCTGAGATTAAAGGTGCACTTGGCGCCCCTTCCCCACACTCCCTCACCCTTGCAGCTGCACGAGGGAGGAAGCCAGAGTGTGAGGAAGGGAGTTTTGGGGGCCTCAGTGTTGTCCTGATGAAGGATCAAGCACAACCCAGGTGTCGAGGGTAGTTTCCCATTCAACACTGCCCCCCCCCCCAAGTGCCAACTTCCTGCTCAGTATTCTAGACTTGCTATTTCCCAGGCCACGATGGAGGCTCCTGGCCCCAATGCACCCACACCAAGACCCCTAGTCTGAAGGGGTGACAGGTCCAATCTCAGGGCGGCATCCCTCACCACCTCACTTGCAGGACATACCTGAGGGTTACTGAGCTACTGAGAAATGGCTGCAGAGGACCCCAAGGCTGTTCCAGCTCCCAGGTACTGACTGCCTGCCCTTCCACCTTCACCCCTGAGCAGGTCTACACAGCACCGAGAAAGCAGGATTACAGGGCAGTCCCATGACTAATGACCCTTCCCCACCTGTCTGCACACACAACTGACAGGTGGGAGTGCATTTCTGCTTCTTTTTTGGGGATATGTGCCCACACCTGGTGGTGCTCAGGAGTGACCCCTGACTGGGCACTCAGGAATCTTCTGGCAGTGCTCAGGGGATCATATGGGATGCCCGAACCGAACTCAGGTCAGCTGCATGCAAGGCAGTTACCCTACTGGCTGTATTATTTATTGCTCCAACCCCACGGGACACATTTCTGGGGGCAGGGTGGAGGCTGGAGGCTGGGTAAAGAAACCCCAGAGCCATGGGGTTCACCTGCAGCTTTCTTCAAAGGGAAGAGAGAAGCTGGAGTGTTCTTGGCTACCCAAGAAACTGTGGCATCCAGTGTGGCAAAAGTGTCGGGTACCTCCTCAACTTCCCATGAGGCGAGCCGCCAGCCACCACTAGAGGCGAGAGTGAAGCCAAGGGCACCAGGAAGGACCCTGTGGACAGGCTGGCTGACCCCAAGTGCTGCAACCACTGCGTGAACAGAGCCCGGGTCCCCCCTACCTCCCCCCTCCCCACACTCATATAAACTGTGCCCCAAAGAGCTTCTGCCTGTATCTGGGGGGGGGGGTGCTCAAATCATGTTCTCTGGAGGCCTAGTGAAGCCTCAGCAGCCCTTCACCTCCAGGGCCGAGGGGAACAGCCCCCTCCCCCTCCGTACACACCCCCACAGAACACCCGTTGTTTTCTCTTTATTTTGGTCTCTTTTCAAACAGCTGATTTGGCAGAAGAGCGCTTCCCGTTCACAAGCTGAAAGAGCGCATGTCTGGACTGGACCACCCCTGAAGTGCCAGCACTGTTGGGCAGTGGTCACCCCCGCAGGTTCCCTCCAGCCACCAGAGACATACACAGAGGCCGCCACTGGGGGGGCAGGAGGGAAGAGGTCCCTCGTTGCTCAGGTGCCCAAGACTTAGCTCTCTAAACAGAGGAAAGTCACACCCAACTGCGGGCAGGAAGCCTCCTGGGAGCTGGGGGAGGGGGGTCATCCCCGCTGTCCACGACCCAACTGCAGGCCCAGCCAGTCGGAACTCAGGGGTCTACGCCTCCATCCGTTCCCCCCTGGCCCAGGATGTGCTGCAGCAGTCCATTGACCACGTCCAGCGTCTCGTCCTGCTCCAGCACGATGTCAAAGGCATCCAGGTAGCGCTCCCGCCGCTCCGCCACCTGCCGAAGGAGAAGCCAGTCCCCACCTGTCCTCATTCCTTCCCCCACCTCCCGCCCGGTGCCGCTGCCCAGGAGTTCACGGTCACAGCGAATGGCCCTCTGTGTGAGCAGCTGCCACAAAGAGGCCTGGCGTGACTGTCATGGAAGATAAAAAACCAAACAGGGGCGAGTGGTGGATGGTCAGGAGACACTGGCGGAGGGCGGCTGAAACTCTGGTGGTGACTGGGGTGTCAGAACATTGTTAGCATGCAAGCAAAACCCAGTGTACCTCAAGAAAAATTGGAGAAACTGAACGTGTCCCAGAGGTCAAAGCTTGTCTACGGTGGCCTGGGCAGTCCTCAGAGCCACAGAGTACCCCCAGCTCCACATCGAGTCCAGCTGCTACTGCTCACCCCGCCAAACTGCACTTTCTGAGCCGAAGCTCAGCAGGGATGAGAGCACCTGGCAGCAGAGGATGGGGGCCCTCGAGCGTTTCCCATGCAGTGCCCCTTCTGCAACCATAGTCCTTCACCTGTCCTCCCTGGGCTGTTCTTGCACTTCTCTAGATCAGAAATGCATATGCCAACGCCCCTGACAGGTCCCCTGTTCCACTGTGCCCTGCAGTCACCCTCACGGGGCCTGCTCCTCTGTCTGGGAGGCTTTAGACTCAGTCCTGCTGCCCTGGGAAAGTGACTAAATCTTTTTTTGTGTTTGTTTGTTTGTTTGTTCTGGCCACAGCAGGAGGTACTCAGAGGACCACCTGCGGGGCGTGAATGCAACTTGGGTCTGCTGCAATCAAGGCCAGCGCCCTCCCTGCTCTGCTCTCACCCAGGCCCACCTTCTACCGGCTATTTCATCATCTGTAAAATGGGTGTGACAGTCACCAACTTGGAGGGCTGTGATGAGGGTTATTTGGTGGGTGTGCCTGGGGCCTGCTAGGCATGCAGGAAGTGGCCCGACTCTATCGGGCCCTGGCCAGTCTCTGAACTCCAGGGTCAGGCCACGTGCTGAGCACACAGCAGGGACCCTGGGTTTCCCTTTTGTTTATTCCAACGAGAATAAAGATTACCCTGGTGTCTCCTCTGTACCGCTAACGCCCAACACAGGGGTCAGCACACAGGGGTCCGGTCAGCATGTGCTAACAGGGGCGGAAGGAGAGGCCAGCCGGCAGGGCGGAGGGCCCAATGCCCACCTACCTTGTCATTCAGGAAGCCAACTCTGAGGATGTTCTGCACGCCGGGCACGCCGTCAGCCATGGTCAGGTCGCCCATGGAATCCCCCAGCAGGAGGATATTGGTCCTGCCCTGCAGCTGCTGGAAGTATCCGGAGTTCTCACACACAGAGCTGTTCTTATTATACGTGTGGATGAGCTGGCCCTTGAATCCGCGGAGGAAACCCTAAAATACCCAGAGATGGGGAGGGCTGCAGGGATCCAGTCAGGCCAAATCCTGCCGTACCTGGCAGGGATGGGAATCCTGAAAGCCGTAAGTGATGCCAACCCTCACTGGGTTCTAAACCAGGGCCCCGATGACCCAGATCTGCCTCCATTTTTTTGTTGTTGATGCTGTTTTGGTTTTTTGGGGAGCCACCAATGGGGGTGTTCTGGGGCTACTCTTGGCTCTGTGCTAGACGATCGCTCCCTGGTGAGCACCAGAGGCCCTGGTGGAAGGAAACTTGGGGACTCCAAGTACCAGGGACCATGTGGCGCCAGAGACTGAACTAGGCCTTCTGCATGCAAAGCATGTGCTCAGCCCTCTGTGCTCTCTCTAGCCCAGACTTGGTCGTTTTTTGTTTGTTTTTGGTTTGGGGGGCCCACCCAGCAATGCTCAGGAGTTACTCCTGGCTCTGCACTCAGGAATTACACCTGACTGTGCTTGGGGGGACCATATAGGATGCTGGGTATTGAACCTGGGTTGGCTGTGTGCAAGGCAAATACCTCACCAGTATACTATTGCTCCAGCCCCAAAGCTTTGATTTTTGCGGGGTAGGGGTTGAGGCCACATCTTGAGGTGTTTGGGGACTATGCGTTGTCAGTGCTAGTGTCAGCTGCATGCAACCCCTGTACTATCTCAGTCTGTTTTTACTGAAACACAGCCATGCCCATTTGTTTACTTGGCTGTGGCCACTTTTTTTTTTTTTTTTTTTTTTTTGGCATTTTGGGTCACAGGATTGCTCAGGGATTACTCCTGGCTCTGCACCCAGGAATCACTCCTGGCAGTATTCAGGGGACCATACAGGATACCAGGGATCAAACCCGGGTTGGCTGCATGCAAGGCAAGAGCCCAACCTGCTATACTATCACTCAGGCCCCAAATGGCCACTAATTTTTGTATAGTGGGGTTAAGTAGTTGCAACAGAGATCATATGTATATGATCAAACACAGTCCACCAGGATTCACAATACAACTCTACAGTATTTCAGTATTTACCATCTGTCCTTTTATTTATCTATTTATTTATTTTGGTTGGGAGAAAGCATTTGTACCACACCTGGCCGTGCTCGGGCTTATTTCTGGTGGGCTCAGGGAACCAAACATGGTACCAAGGATCAAACCAGGGCTGACTGTGTGCAAGACAAGTTTCTACCTGCTATACTATTACTCCAACCCCTTACTGCCAGGCCTTTTACAGAAAAAGTCTGTAAGCAGGGGCTTTAACTTCAGGAGTATGAAATACTGCTGATCAGCTACTCTGCTAAAGCAGGAAGGCCATACCCAGAGCCAGGCAAATCCACACATTGGCTCTCGGGTTAAGGCCATGGTGTCATAACAGGTCAAAGAGGTAAAAATTCTGGCCTCTGTGGGGCCAGAAAGACAGTAGGTGGGTATTTGCCTTGCAAGCAGCTGATCCGGGTACTATCCCCAGTACCCCATATGGTCCCCCAAGCCCGTCAGGAGTGACTTCTGTATGCAGAGCCAGGAGTAAGCCCTGAGCACTGTCAGGTGGGGTCCCCAAACAAAACAAAACAAAATTTGGGCCACTAGTTTTAAGGGTCGAGTCGGGGCTCGAGAGTGACAGGAGCAAGCCCTGGTGTACCTGGATGGCCCAGGACAGTGACCTGGATGGCGATAGGGCCAAGCTGACCTCTGACCCCAGGCAGAGAGCTGAGGTCAGGCAATAGGTTTTTCTAAGTTAACTATCTTTGGAATCAATAAGAAACCAGTCAGGGCTGGAGCAATAGGACAGCGGGTAGGGCGCTTGTCTTGCAGAGCTAGGTATAAGTCCTGAGCATCATCAAGTGTGCCCCCACCCCCTCACCCCCTGCCAAAATAAAAAAAGAAGAAACCAGCCCTGCAGGCTCGTGTCTGGAGACCACTCAAGGCAGAACACTTCCACCCGCCCCCCCGCCCCAGCCCCCTTTCCCAGTCCCAAGATGCCTCACGTCATCATCAAAATCCATGTAGTTGGACACGATGTGGATGTTGGAGTGGAACACTTTCATCTGACGGATGATTTCTTCCAGGATGTCGCCAATGCCCGCGGAGAAGATGAACAGAGGGATGTTGTTTTGGTGGAGGGTGTTGAAGAACGTCCCGTATCCCTCCCTGAAAGGCAGGTGGACTCAGAAGGGCACTGCACTGCTGCTCTTCTTCACTGCCTACTTGTGTTGCACGTTTTTAAGTCTTTTAGCTTTTTGCTTTTTGATTTTGGCCACACCCAGCAGTGTTCAGGGCTTACTTCCTGCCTCTACACTCAAGGATCACTCCAGGTAGGGCTCATGGCATGAGGGATTGAACCCAGGTCAGCTACATGCAAGATAAGCATGGCACCTACTGTCCTATCACTCTTGCCCCAAATATTCTTTTTTTTTTTTTTTTTGGCTTTTTGGATCACACCTGGCGATGCTCAGGGCTGACTCCTGGCTCTGCACTCAGGAATCATTCCTGGCGGTGCTTGAGAACCATATGGGATGCTGGGAATCGAACCTGGGTCAGCCGTGTGCAAGACAAACACCCTACCCACTGTATTATCGCTCCAGCCCCATTCTTTATTGTTTTGAGGTGCTAGGGAATCAAACCCAGGGCCTTACAGGCACAAGGCAAGTTCTCTACCACAGACTATGCCCCTGGCCCAATACTTGAAACATTTTTAAGGTGAGATATAAAATACAGAGTGGTTACAAAGCGTTCCCTCGGGTATCCTTTGCAGGCACCCACATCCTGTAATGAATAACCACACCAACTTCCCTCAGGTCTTTCTCTGTGTGTGTGTGTCTGTCCGTCCATGTGGTCCAGGAATGGCACCACTGAGCTGCTTCAACTGCCCCTCAGATGCCCCCACATTACTTTACCTTCCTATCATCACTGAGAAACTTCACCTTTCCTCGAATTCAACAGACCTGAGCTCCTATGTCTTCCATTTCTGCCTTATTTTGCATGATAACATGTGTGTGTATATTAATTCATGTTTTGCCTTGCAGGAATAATTCAGTCAATGCTATATAGGTCACGCCACCCTGTAAGAGGGCCTGAATTCCTGTGGGTTCCTGGTTATGGGGGAGTGTGATGCTTCCAGGGTCAGCGCTTTCACACTTGGCTGTGTGGGCCACCTGGGACACACCTTGTGCTCTGAGCTCTCATGCTCCCGGGCACAAATCGGGATAGGATTTTTGCTACCAGGCGACACTCTGAGCAGCGCCCCATCCACCCTGGCCCTCAAGGATATGCACCTTCACCCTCTGTCCTCATAGACTCTCCCCACTGAGGACTCACAAAGTGACATACATGTCACTTCCTTAGTTCATGTGGAATGTTCCAGCTGAGAATACTGCCTGGGCGGCAGCCGAAGGATTCCAATTTGGACAAAGAACCCCAAGAGTCTTGCCCAGGTGAAACACAAGCTGCTGCTGGGGGAGGGGGAAGAAACCCTCCCCCCCACCCCCCATCACAGGCACAGGCCGGGCCCAGCCCCAGCCCTGACCCTAGCGGCGGCTCCTACACAACGCTGACCCTGAGCTCTCTAAGGACCTGGGTGCCACAGCAGGGCCTGCGGAGCTTCTGACCTAACAACAGCTCCTGCCTCTCACCTCCCCACTCCGCCTCTCCCTCTCTCAAAGACAAGGATGGCCATGCAGCAAGCAGAGGGATGGCGCAGACCAGTGATAGAAGCAACACGTGGTGAGGGGGAGGGAGCCGCGCCTCGCCCGCCTGTGGCTTCTGGTACCAAACACTCCAAAGCGACTTCTCTGCATGGAGCCACAGAAAATCCTGGTGGGGAAGGCAGTGGTGGTGGGGAGGATGGGAAGAGGGGAGGGGACAGGGGACAGTAGGCTTTTCCCTGCCTCTATGGCTGAACCCACCTCTAGTCATCAGACCAAAAGGGCCAGAGTGAGCACTTACCTCAGCATGGCGTTGGACTCACGGACCACCTGAGTGATCTGAGATTTCTGGATCTTCTGCTGACAGAGGAGATTGTGTGCTTTGGTCCACCTGCAGACAGACAGACCACCTGACCCCAAATTCAAGGCACAGAAAAAACTCCCCACCTAGGGGCCGGAAAGAGAGCTCAGGGGTGAAGATCGTGCGCCCTGCACACGATCGACCTCAGTTCAACCTCAGGCATCATATAGGGTCCCCTGAACCCCTTCATAGTGATCCCTGAGTCCACAAACAAACAAAAAAATGTCAGGAGGGTCAGAGAGAGAGCACCAAGGGCTGAGCAGCTGTGAGAGGCAAGAATTTGATCCCTGGTACTGCACGGTCTTCTAAGTACCAGTGTCAGCACATTTGTCAGTGTGCTTCCGACAAATCAGAAAATAAATAAAGTAATAAAATAAGTAAAAACCCCACATAAAGTGTTCTATCCAGCGACTCACTGCTCAGGCCCTGCAGGGTCTGGCTATCCTTGAAAGGAAGAAGTGAAAGAACCACATAGAAGTAAGAGGCAAGGTCCTGGAGCGATAGTATAGTGGGTAGGGTGTTTGCTTTGCATGCGGTTGACATGGGTTCGATTCCCAGCATCCCATATGGTTCTCTGAGCACCACCAGGAGTAATTTCTGAGTGCAAAGCCAGGAGTAACCCCTGTGCATCACCGGGTGTGACCCCCCCAAAAAAAAAAGAAATAAGAGGTGAGGTGAGGACTGGAGCAATAGTACAGTGGGTAAGGCACTTGCCTTGCATGCGGACAATCAGGGTTCGATACCCTGCACCCCATATGGTCCTTTAGTATTGCCAGGAGTAAGTCCTGAGTGCAGAGCCAGGAGTAACCCCTGAGCATCGCTGAGTGTGGCCCAGACTCCCTCTCTGGAACTCTGGGACGCTGTTCAGTGATACTTATTTCTATGGGAAAATTATCTCTCCAAAGCACTTACTTCCCAAAGCAAAAGGCTCTGGCCTGTCCCAGCTTTCTCCATGGGCCACATTCTTAGAGCAGCCACAGGTGACCCAGACAGCTTGTCCGAAATGCTGGACTAAGGACATCCAGGGGTGGGGGCCAAGCTTCTCACCAAAGCTCCAGAAAAAAACACCTGTTCTGAGGTAGGGTCAGAGAGATGGCTCAGGGTCTGGGGTCCCCATGGTCCTTCAGCAGGACAGAGGTTACACCTGAGCACCAAATCAAAACCTGATCACCTCTGGTGTGACCTAAAGACCAAAGCACACGCGCGCGCGCGCGCACACATACACACACACATTCTCTCTCTCTCTCTCTTTCCCTCCCCCACTTCCCCCTCTGAATCAGCCCACAGTCCCAGCCCAACACTCACCACTCCACCATGTGAGGTAACTTCTCTTTGGCAGTCCGGTGTGGGTCAATCTCAATGGGGTAATAGTGGTGAAGGAGCTCTTGGAGCTGCAACATCCAAACAGAGAGAAAAGTCATTTAATTCCCGTTTTCCCTAACAAGCCCCATAGTTTAGTGTGAGGAAAAGGTACCATAGGTAAAAACTACAGCACAGAGATCCACCTGGTCACCTGTTCCTGTGGTGCTTGGGGAACCACGGGATGGAACCCAGGTCTCTATTACATGTTCCAGAACACACAAAACCACATCCCTTGGGGCTGGAGCAATAGCACAGCAGGTAGGGCATTTGCCTTGCATGCAGCTGACACGGGTTCAATTCCCAGCATCTCATATGGTCCCCTGAGCACCGCCAGGAGTAATTCCTGAATGCATAAGCCAGGAGTAACCCTTGTGCATCGCCAGGCGTGACTCAAAAAAAAAAAAAAAAGCAGAGAAAATAAAACCACATACCCTCTAAGTTGTATCTTCCTGGCCCAAGATGGATCTTTTGTTTGGGGGCCACACCTGGCGGTGCTCGGGTCTTAGTCCTGGCTCTATGCTCAGGGATCCCTCCTGGCAATGCTCAGGGGACCATACATGTTGCTGGGGATTGAACTGAGGTCAGCCGTGTGCAAGGCAAGTGCCTTTACCCCTGTACTATCTCTCCAGCCCCCCAACATATATCTTTTTGAGTGAGAACATTTTGAGGGGTTGGGCACATCCATTGGTGTTCAGAGGCTATTCCTGGTTCTGTGCGCAGGAGTGAGCTCTGGTAGTACCGGGGATTCAAATCAGGGTTGGCCATGTGCAAGGCAAATGCTGACCACTGTGCTACTTCGATGGCCCCCACTGAACAAGAACATTTTAAGAAGTGTGACAGAACTTGCAGAAGAATGGAATTCTTTCTCAGGCTCCTTGTAAATAGCGCTCAAGAGGTCTGGGGGTGACTTTCTATGATAGGGGAGAATCAACCCAGCTATTCAAGTCAGAGGATTCAGTGCTTGCATCTGGAGCTACCTGGGCCCAATGGAACTGGAGTGAGGTGGGGGGCACACAAGGGTCACAACTACTGCTGCCTGGGGGTTTCAAGGGCTACACCCAGAGGTTCTCAGGGTAGGGTAGGGGACGCGATTCCAGGGTTCAAAGGAGTGTTCTTATGCAAGCAAGGCATGTGCTCCAGCCCTTAAAGCTATCTTTCTGGTTCCAAGAACAGAATTTTTTTACAAAGAAAAGAAAGACTTCATATTTAAACTCTGTTTTATGTATTGTTTCATGTATTGCAGGAACCCCTTAACACCAAGAATCACATTTTTTTCCCCTAGCTGTTTCTCCTAGAGTAGATCGGGAAGCATACTGTCTTATGTGTGGACTAGAATTCTGGAAGTGCACAAGGTCCAGGATGCAAAAAGAAAAGACTGCCTGAGACTTCAGCAGAGAGTGGTATCTCTAGAGACACGCTTGGAAGTGATAGGAATAGATGCTGTTGACACATTGGCCACTCAATGATCCCAGGGGAGAGACATACATGTGAGTCACTGCATACAACTCACAGATTCTGAATCAGAGCATAAGGTGAGAGAATCTAGTTTACTCAGCAGCGAGAGCTCAACTGGCCAGTGATGTAGCTCAGCAGCAGAGCACAGGAATTGCAAATGTGAGGCCCTGGGTTTGATCTCTGAGTACCCCATACACACACAAGAGCTCAACAATGTGCAGAGAAATGGCTGAGAGAGCTCCATCTGGTAAAGAGAACACAGATAGGAAGGAGGCATACAGATAGCAAAGTGAAAGCTCAAAGCTACAAGAATCACTTGACGTTATCTGTGCACATAGCAGAGAAACAGGAATGATGGGATATTGATGCTCCTACGCAAGTCACCCTGAGACTTGCTGCCTTAGCCATAAAATGACACCAGCAAGGGAAGAGCATGAGGCAATGCAAATGGCTTGGGACACAATCAGCTCAATGGGAAACCAATGCTGTCTCCTGCACTAGAACCCTGAGTAAGCAGCTCAACCTAAGCCTTGGTTTTCTCATCTGTTAAATGGACACAATAATAGTTTTATCCACTGCTCAGAGTTGCAGAAAATTAAATACCAAACACTGAAGTCTTTTGAAGACTCCATAGTGGGCAGGATAATGTCTGTATTCTAGCAAACACTTGCCTGAGCAAAACTTTTTTTTTTTTAGTTAATCTTCTAGAGACAGGGAAATAGCTTAAAAGGCTAGAGTGCATGTCTTGCATAAGGGTGCCCCTACTTCAATCCTCAACACTGCATGCTCCCCTGAGCACTGTAGGGAATAGTCCTGGAGCACTGAGTACCACCAGGTATAGCCTAAAAACCAAAGTAATTGTCTAGGGCTGGGAATGTAGTTCAGTGCAAGAGTGCTGGGTTAAATAGGATTCCTGGGACTGGAGCAGTAGAGCAGAAAGGGTGCTCATCTTGCATGTGGTCAACCCAGGTTCGATTCCTGGCATCCAATATGGTCCTCTGAGCTGTGCCAGGAGTAGCCCTGAGCACAGAGCCAAGAGTGAGCCCTGTGCGCTGTCAGGTATGGTCCAAAAAGCAAAACAAAATTAAATAAATAAATAAATAAAAAACCAACTTCACGGGGCCGGATAGTACAGTGGGTAGGGTGTTTGCCTTGCACGCGGCCAACCTGGGTTCAATCCCCAACATCCCATATGGTCCCCCAAGCACTGCCAGAAGTAATTCCTGAGTGCAGAGCCAGGAGAGAGAAACCCCTGATTATTGCTCGGTGTGATCCAAAAAGCAAAAAAAAAAAAAAAAAAAAAAAAAAAAACCCTTCACTTTTCACTTCCTACATCCTACATGTACACAGACACAAAAACACAATAAAGCAAAAAAAAAAAAAAAAAAAGAGTGGCCTAGAGAGACAGTATGAGTTTTAAACTGCTTGCCTTGCATATGGTCAATCATCTAGTTCAATTCCCAGCACCACATATGGTCCCCTGAGCACTGCCAAGAGTAGCTCCTGGAGCACTGTCAGTGTAGCCCAGACTGCTGTCCTCAAAAAAAAAAAAAAAAAAAAAAAAAAAGGTGTGAAAGGTGTGGGAGAGGCCAGAGAGATAGTTCACAGAGGGTTGAGTACATTTTTAGGTTCAGTCTCTGGAACCACATGGTCCCCTGAGTACTACCAATCGTGGTACCAAAAAATCTAAAGGGAGTGGGAGAAATATATTCATTTTCTAAAGCAGTGTTCTTCAACTGCCAGTTTGCAGGAATCAATTCTAAAGTATACCATGAGGGGCTGATGAGATAGTATAGCAGGCAGGGCGCTTGCCTTGCACGCCACTGATCCAGGTCTGATCTTGGCACACCATACAGGCCACTGAGTCCTGCCAGGAGTAATCCCTGAGTACAGCCAGGTGTGGCCCAAAAACAAAAACAAAAGAAAAGTATCCTGTAATCTTTGGACCTAATCCATGTGAAGTCACATATATCAACCTTTTCTGAGCCCAGAAGGGGAATCCCCACCTCGCAGGTATCAACCTTTTCCTGAGCCCAGAAGGGGAATCCCCACCTCTTTCCGGCACTCCTCACTGATGATCTTGCTGCTATCCAGAATATCTGCAGAAAATAAATAAATAAATAAATAAAAAATAAAAACCCAGAAAAATGCCACAAAACCCTTTTTGCCTTGCCCATTGCAGCTGTCCCCTCCCCAAGCCCAACAGGGGAAGTGAGACTCACTGTGGGAAGAAGGGCACCTTTTCCCGTTGTAGGCAAACCTGCTCAGGGTCATGTCAAAATCAGAAATGACCTAAAATGCAAGAGACACAAGGCCGGGAAGTGAGAGGTTGCTCGGCTGTGGCCCTGAGCTCAGCGTCCGGGCGTGAGTGGGCACCAGCTCTGGGGTGGGTAAGTGGGAAGGAGGCACTAAACCTACTTGCGCGAACCTGGCGGGGGAGGGGGGGTGGGGGTGGAGAGCGGGATCAGGACCCCTTGGCTTCTTTCAATAGCACCCATTTCCATGCCCCGGGGCTTCCTGAGGACCCCCGCCCGTTGCACCCCATCTCCACATCTGCAGCGAGCGTGGGAGAGGTTACAGCGCCGGGACTGGGCATGCAGGATGGGGGTTTGGGGCGGGGGTGGGGGAGGTCTCCCGAGCGGGAGGAAGCAGCGTGGCGTGCAGAGAAGCTTCTCCCGGGCGGCTTCCAGTTCAGGGAATCTGTCCCCACTGCGGCCGCCGTGCGCCCTCCCCCCGCGCGCGCGCGCGTCCCCCGGTACCTGCAAGCTGCCCGCGCCGCCGCGGCGGAGGGCGCCCACGATCTCCTGCACCCGCCCGGGCCGCCGCATCAGCACCGTGGCCTTCATCAGGCAGCTCACCTGTGCCGAACCCCGAGAGCGCCGTGAGCCCCGCCGCCCCGCCCCGCGCCCCGCGCCCCGCGCCCCGCGCCCCGCGCGCTTCCCGCTCACCTCCTCCGCCATGGCGCTGGGGCCCGGCTCGGCGGCGCCCCGACAGCGACCGCCCCGCGGCCGCACTGCGCAGGCGTCGCCCGGAGCCCCGGGCCCGGGGAGGGCGGGCGGCGTGCCCAGGCCCTCACGGATCAGGGTCGGGTGCAGAGCTGGGACAAGGGTGAGGGTCCCGGCTGGGGCGACTTGTGGGGGGATTCTTTCTAGAACAAAAGTCCCGGGACAGAGTTGGGGCCTGGAACCCCCACCTCCCCGCAGGAGGCCGCCGGGAGGGGATGTGTAGCCACGAAGCGTGTGCACCACCGCATGAAGGTTGCTGCCTCCCGCAGGCTCCATCCCCAAGAACGTGACCAGCAGCACCTCCAGGGAGCGGGAGGACCCGGGAGAACTGGGCCAGGATGAGATGCAGTGACTCCTCCTTTCCTGTCCCTTCCTCCTCCTCTGACTTGCTCTTCCAGAGTCCAGGTGGGGAAGAAGGTAGCAGAGAAGTAAGGGTGGGGATGGGGGGTGTCGAGGCTGGAGCTGGGCAACAGGGAGCGAAATGAATGATAGCTCTTATGTGGAGTTGGGTGGGGTGGGGTGGGGTGGGGGTATCCTGGTGCGGCCCCAGGAAGGAGGTGTGGGGTGTTCCTCAGCCTGAGTGGTGGTGAGGGACAGTGGGATGGAGAGAGGGACAGGAGAGTTCCAGAACCTGAGAGCACAATCTGGGGTGATCTCACTGCGGGCCCAGGATTCTGGAACTTGGGCTGCCGGATGGGCCCTATATGAAAGATGTAGTAGGGAAAAGGAGCGACAGCTGGCTATAGGGGCCCCCCACAACCCTCCCAGACACCCTAGGAGAGCAGCCTCTCTCCGCTGGTCCCGGGGTGCCATGGAGATGGAGAGCACGGCGGCCTCCACCCGTTTCCACCAGCCTCACATGGAGAGGAAGATGAGCGCGATGACCTGTGAGATCTTCAACGAGCTTAGGCTAGAGGGCAAGCTCTGCGACGTGGTCATCAAGGTCAATGGCTTTGAGTTCAATGCCCACAAGAACATCCTCTGTAGCTGCAGTTCCTACTTTAGGTATACCAGGGTTGCTGAAGGAAGCCCGTGGGGACATTGGGCTCGCTTGGAGACATGTGGGGAGTTTTGAGTTTCCCGGCCCAGGGACCCTGGGGCCTGGCTTATTTGCTCTCTAAAAGGCACCCCTAGGGGCCAGAGCCTCTTCGAAATCTCCACCAACAATTGGTTGAAACAGGTGCTTCTCTCTTGGATGCTTCCTTAAGCCACTTTTGGGAAGGTTGGATCTCCATCCTGGATTTCCTTCTTAGACTTATAACCGTGCCACTTTCGCCACACCAATGCCCTTCTCCCCTCAAACAGGGTGATGCACATAGATGGGAAAGAGGGCCTGTGAATGGGCAGTGGAGGAAAAAAGACCCGGAAATATTTAGAAGAAGAAAAAGGGAGCTGGGGCCTAAACCATGTAACCCAAGAAGACTGTTGAACATAGCTTGTTCCTGAGCTGAAAATGTTTAGGTCATCATCAATACCCGTGGAAATATGATGTGTTCCACCTGGTGCTAAAAATGCTCATTCATCTAGATTTAGAATAGAGCCCCTAAAAAGATCGTCTCCACAAATTTTTATTCCCTTCAGACCCTGTCACAAGCCCTCCCCTCCATTGAATGAATACAACCACACAGGTCCATGACTGGGTTCCAGGGACATGGGTGCACAGTGACACTAGAATGCATTAACATTTGTAGGTGTCACCAGATTGTTTTGAGGTTTCTTTTTTCCTAACCACTAAAGCATGCTAAAAAATATATTCTCAGCTCAGGGACAGCACACAAATAAAAGGGGAGGTTGAGAGGTTATAGCTATGCAGGTCCTTGCTTACAGAATTTTTTTTCTTTTTGGGCCACACCCAGCAATGCTGAGGGGTTACTCCTGGCTCTGCACTCAAGAATTACTCCTGGTGGTGCTTGGGGGACCATATGGGATGCTGGGAATCGAACCCTGGTCAGCCACGTGCAAGTCCTACCCCCTGTGCTATCGTTCCAGCCCCTGTGCTATTGCTCCAGCCCCCTGCTTACAGAATTTAATCTGAGCTCACATTCCTACAAAACTTTGAGAAAAAGGAAGCAATGTATAAGAGGTCCTCCTGCCTTCTTTAGCACCTTAGCCAAGTTCCTTGCTGCATAGTAGGGCCCAGTAACTGTTGTGGTTTCATAGTTTATTGCTTCTATATTATTTTCCAATTGATTCCCCTGGGCTGGGAGGTGGCTCCCAAGAGTTGGAGTGATTGCTTTGTCTGTGGGAGCCTTAGGTTTGTCAGCTTTACACACTCCCCCAGGCATCGTCAGGAGTGGCCTCCCACACTGTGGTGTACACCCAGCCCCCATATTCTATTCCCCGTCCCTGTCTGATGTGATGATCGGGGTTGCACACCTTTGGTTGTGGTGCTTTCACACGTGCTTGTGGGGACTCTGGTTATGGTGCTTTTGGGGTATTGCACTCTGCCTGCTGCCAGGCCTGGTGATTGGCACCTGTGGAGCGGGATTGAGGGTCAGAATCACTGGCAAGGCAGCTGCCTTGCCACCAAACCAGGCCAGGCCCCCGGCAGTCACTGATTGATTGGTTTTGGGGTCACACCAGACTGTGCTCAGGGTTTACTCCTGGCTCTGGGCTCAGGTCACTCCTGGTGGGTTCAGGGGACCTTATGGAATGCGAGAAGTGGAACCTGGGTTGACCATGTGCAATGCAAGCTCCTTACCCGCTATAATCTCTCTCCAGCCTCTAGTTATTTATTGTTTGTTTTGGGGCCACACCCAGCAGTGCTCAGGGCTTATTCCTGGCTCTGTGCCCAGGGATCACGCCTAACAATGCTGGAGGAACCCTATGGGGTGTCAGGGATCAAACATGGGTCAGCCCCATGCAAGGCAAGCACCCCGCTTACTCTCTCAAGCCCCCCGTAATTTATTTATTTATTTGCTTTTTGGGTCACACCCAGAGATGCTCAGGGGTTACTCCTGGCTCTGCACTCAGGAATTACCCCTGGAGGTGCTCAGGGGTAATTGAAACCGGGGTGCTGGGAATTGAAACCGGGTCGGCTGCGTGCAAGGCAAATGCCCTACCTGCTGTGCTATTGCTCCAGCCGAGTTATTTATTCTTGAATGCTTATCTTGTGTCAGGAATTATTCTGGTTACGGTCGTGTCCTCAGGAAGTGTACTGAGTATGAGAATTAGGCATGGAAGAAATGATATGCCATCATATCATTAAATGTGAGAGGGAAAAAGCAAAGAAGGGGGACAGGGAATAACGGCGGCAGTTTTACAAAGGATGATCAGCGGCCAGAGTAATAATACAGGGGTCTCGGTGCTTGTCTTGCACAAGGCTGACTTAGATTCAATTCCTGGACTGTAAAGGGTCTCTGAGCAACATGAATAGTGACCCTGAAGTGAGCACAGAGCCAAGAATAAGCCCTGCCAAGTGTGGCCCAAACCATGCCTCTTCCCCCCCCCCCTCAAAAAAAGACAGATGCATGAGATTAATTAGCAGGTAACTTTCAGTAATCAAAGCCAGAGGCCAGAGAAGACAGTGGTCACTTAAACCAAGACCCTAACAATGAGTGGTGAGAAGTTACCAGATTCTGGATATGCATTGGACCATACTATTGTATATGTATTTTTTGTTTTTCAGTGTTGTTGTGAGGACCACATCCAGGATACAGTGCCAGGGACCAAGCTGGGTACCTGCTCTTAGTCAGCTACACTGTTTCAGAAGGGAATTGCTCACTTAGAATTTTTTTTGTTTTTGTTTTTTGGGTCACACCTGGCGATGCACAGGAGTTACTCCTGGCTCTGCACTCAGGAGTTAATCCTGGCGGTGCTCAGGGGACCATATGGGATGCTGGGAATCAAACCCGGGTCGGCCGCGTGCAAGGCAAATGCTTTACCCGCTGTGCTATCTCTACAGCCCCTCACTTAGAATTTTCTGAGCAAGCTGGCCTTTGTGGGCCCAAGTTTGGCCAGAAGAGACCTGGGTTGCACCCCCTGCTGGCCCCCACCCAGATCTTCATTCTGATTTCTTGCTCTATGAAATTAAGAGAAGTCCAAGTTTTTAGGAGGAAAATGTACAAGTGAGCAATATAAAAATTCTTTTATTTCTTTTTTTTTTGCTTTTTGGATCACACCTGGCAATGCACAGGGGTTACTCCTGGCGTTGCACTCAGGAATTACTCCTGGCGGTGCTCGGGGGACCCTATGGGATGCTGGGAATCGAACCTGGGTCGGCGGCGTGCAAGACAAATGCCCTACCCGCTGCAGTATCGCTCAGCCCCAAGCAATATGAAAATTCTTGGGAAGAAATTTGCCCACGCCTGCAGCAGCCTCCACATACCCACCCCCAACCCCACCTGCCATTTATTTCCATCGGGGGTCTCTCTGCGCTTTTTGTAGAAATGTCTGTATTCATCATGCCTAGCGGGACTCAGGGGGACCATTTGGGGTGCTGGGGATCGAACCAGCTTGGCCACGTGCAAAGCAGACACCCTATCTACGATACTATCTTTCCAGCCCCCAAAGTCCATATTCTAAGAAATAGCAGAGGGGGCCAGAACTATAGTACAGTGGGTAAGACACTTGCTTTGCATGTAACCAACCAGTGTTCAATTCCCGGCACCCCATATGGTGCCCCAAATACTGCCATGACTGATTCCTGAGCACAGAGTAACCCCTGAGCATTGCTGGGTGTGGCCCAAAATCAAAAGAAAAAAACAGCAGAGTGCTGCTGGGAAACTTTTGGGTGACCGCAAGTTTCTTTCTTTTCCAGAGCCTTATTTACAAGTGGCTGGAACAACACTGAAAAGAAGGTCTACAACATTCCTGGCATTTCCCCCGACATGATGAAGCTAATAATTGAATATGCATACACCCGGACCGTCCCCATCACACCGGACAATGTGGAGAAGCTGCTCGCTGCTGCAGACCAATTTAACATCATGGGCATTGTCAGGGGCTGCTGCGAGTTCCTTAAGTCGGAGCTGTGTTTGGATAACTGTATTGGTATCTGCAAGTTCACAGACTACTACTACTGCCCCGAGCTGAGGCAGAAGGCGTACATGTTCATACTGCACAACTTCGAAGAGATGGTGAAAGTCTCCGCGGAGTTTTTAGAGCTCTCAGTCACCGAACTTAAGGATATCATTGAGAAAGATGAACTCAACGTCAAACAAGAAGATGCTGTGTTTGAGGCCATTTTAAAGTGGATTTCTCATGACCCCCAAAATAGGAAGCAGCATATTTCAGTTTTGCTTCCCAAGGTCAAGTTTAGTTATTCATTTGTGGAGGCTTCACAGATCACTTTGGTTTCCTTTGTCCCCAAGGGATTGTCCTGAGGTCTGACCGATTCCAGGTGGATTCATTTCCACGCACCTAGAACGCATCTTCTACTAGTCTCTGGAACTTTCTTTCCCTTTGATGAGCGATAGCACAGGGGTAGGGTGTTTGTCTTGCAAGCAGCCGGCCCGGCCGAGCCAGGTTCAATTCCTCTGCCCCTCTCGGAGAGCCTGGCAAGCTACCGAGAGTATCTCGCCCTCACGGCAAAGCCTGGCAAGCTCCCAGTGACGTATTCGATATGCCAAACACAGTAACAGCAAGTCTCACAATGGAGACGTTACTGGGTCTGCTCGAGCAAATCGATGAACAACGGGAGGACAGTGCTACAGTGCTATTCTTCGACCAGAATTCTCCGTGGTCGTGAGTGTGGATAGGCAAAGGCAAGGCCTATTCTTCCTTTCACCCTTTGTACCTTGTGCATTTCCCAAAACTCAAGGTAGAAATTAGCCAACAAACCAAACACTGTACATTGTACATAACTGTAGGTACTTGGTGCCAATCTGTTGTTTTGCATTTAGGGACATGGATATTCAATGAACAAACACTAATACTTTTCCCTGGTCTAATATTACTGTCAAGTGACCAAAGAACAAGCTAGTTCTATGACCATCTGAGGTGCCCTCCTTGTTTTTTTTTTCTTTTTGGGTCACACCCAGCAATGCTCAGGGGTTACTCCTGGCTCTGCACTCAGGAATTATTCCTGGCAGTGCTTGGGGGACCATATGGGATGTTGGGAATCGAACCCGGGTCGGACGCGTGCAAGGCAAACGCCCTACCTGCTGTGCTATTGCTCCAGCCCCTTTTTTTTGCTTTTTGGGTCACACCCGGTGATGCACAGGGGCTACTCCTGGCTTATGCACTCAGGAATTACTCCTGGCAGTGCTTGGGGGACCATATGGGATGCTGGGAATCGAACCCTGGCAAATGCCCTACCCGTTGTGCTATTGCTCCAGCCCCTCTTCTCCTAAACATAACTATTTAAACAGAGTTGTAAGGGCCAGGGAGACAGCTCAAAGGGTATGCAGTTTATGCAGGAGGCCAGACTTTGATACCTAAAACTGCATAGTCCCAGCCCACAAATAGCACCAAGAACTGAGCAGAACCAGGAGTAGCCTGGGCACTGCTAGGTATAGCTCAAACCCCACCCCCTCTCCCCAAATTGATTTTTTGTTTTTTTTATGGTTTTAGGCCACATCTGTTGCTCAGGGCTTTCTTTTGGCTCTGCATTTCAGGGATCACCACTGGTTGGGCTCGGGACCCTATGTTGCCGGAGATTAAATCCAGGTGCAACAAGTACGAGGCAAGCGCCCTAAACACTGTACTATGGCTGGTCCCTGCAAATCGATGTCTTTGCTGGGGATGTGGCTCTGCAATAGAGCACTCACATATGAGAGGCCCTGTCGATCTCTGGGTTTGCAAAAGTCATAAATAGTATTGTTAATATGTGTGTGTGTGGGGGGGTGTAACCCCGGGAATACATCTACTAATAATCAGGCCAGCTAGAGTCCAAGGATGCAGCGCTACTCAGCCCCTGCAGTGCCTATGACCACTAGGGTCACCCCCCATCAATGCTCAAGGCCCTCCAAGCTATATCCAGTGATGTTCAGGGGACCCTGTGGTGTTAAGGATCGAATTGGAGTCAGGCACATGCAAGGCATGCACCCACACCCTTGTACTATCTTCCTGGCCATAATTTTGTTATGGCCAGGGACCACTCAGGGACCACTCCTGGTCGTGCTTGGGGACTGTATGTGGTGCCAGAAATTGCACCGGGGTTCAAGCATGTAAGGCAAGTGCCTTACCTCCTTTACTGCCTCCAGTCCCCTACCTGGCCTATCTATCTATCTATCTATCTATCTATCTATCTATCTATCTATCTATTTAAGGAAGAAATATAACCCTACTGCCAAAAGCCAACTGAAAATTCAGGGTTCAGGGATAAGGGCTTTCTGGGGACCCTCACTTCATCTGAATGACGTTCTGTATTTCTGTCTTAGGTTCGCCTGGCCCTAATGCACGCTGAGTACTTCATGAACAATGTTAAGATGAATGATTATGTCAAAGACAGCGAGGAATGCAAGCCAGTCATCATCAATGCCCTGAAGGCCATGTACGACCTCAACATGAATGGACCCTCTAATTCTGACTTCACCAACCCACTCACCAGGCCCCGCCTGCCCTATGCCATCTTATTTGCAATTGGTGGCTGGAGTGGTGGGAGCCCCACCAATGCCATTGAAGCCTATGATGCTCGGGCAGACAGATGGGTGAATGTCACGTGTGAGGAAGAGAGTCCCCGTGCCTACCACGGGGCGGCCTATTTGAAAGGTTATGTTTATATCATTGGGGGGTTCGATAGTGTAGACTATTTCAATAGTGTTAAGCGTTTTGACCCAGTCAAGAAAACATGGCACCAGGTGGCCCCGATGCACTCCAGACGTTGCTATGTCAGCGTGACAGTCCTCAGCAATTTCATTTATGCCATGGGAGGATTTGATGGCTACGTGCGTCTCAACACTGCTGAACGTTATGAGCCAGAGACCAACCAATGGACACTCATTGCCCCCATGCATGAACAGAGGAGTGATGCCAGCGCCACAACACTCTATGGGAAGGTAAGACCCTCGGGGTGGGCTGGGTAGGGCCAAGAGGTGGACACAGACAAGCCCAGAAAGAATATTCTGGGGTATTTTTTTTGGGGGGGGAGGGAGGGAAGAGGGTAGGTGGAAAATAAAAGTGGCAGTACTTGCTTTGCAGTATTAACTCTTTCCTCAGATGACTTAGTGAACTACCAGAAGTGGCAGAGTGCAGTCAGGAGTAGCTCCTGAGTATACCAAGGGGTGTGGTCCAAAGCCAAATGAAACAAAGGATTGTGTATTCTGCATGCAGGAAGGCTGGGTTCCATCCCAGGCACCGCATGCACTATGGATCACCACTAGGAATGACCCTTGAACACTAAGCTAGTCACAGCCAAAAATCAAAGCGTACACACACACACCAGCACCAAAAGCACCCCCCCCCCCCATATATAGTTAGTTCCTATTCCCCAGAGGTAGCAACTTTAATCACCTTGAGATCTTCCTCACACAGGTCTACATATGTGGTGGGTTTAATGGAAATGAATGCCTGTTTACAGCAGAAGTGTACAACACGGAAAGTAACCAGTGGACAGTTATAGCACCCATGAGAAGCAGGAGGAGTGGAATAGGTGTAATTGCTTATGGAGAACACGTATACGCAGTGAGTTGACCTTGCACCGCCACAAAAACGCCCCTAGATTTCCTATTAGCAAATAGGTTGGGTGAGCATTTGAAAAGCTTCTTCCCCCTGGATTTGCGAGGCATGTCCCCTACCCCCCAGCAGGCCACCTCTGTGCATGGAAGACGTGGTTAAGTCACCATGTTTCCTTTGCTGTCCACAGGTAGGCGGCTTTGACGGAGCTAACCGACTTAGGAGTGCAGAAGCCTACAGCCCAGTGGCTAATACTTGGCGCACGATCCCCACTATGTTTAATCCTCGTAGCAATTTTGGCATCGAGGTGGTAGACGATCTCTTGTTTGTGGTGGGGGGCTTTAATGGCTTTACCACCACCTTTAATGTTGAGTGCTATGATGAAAAGACCGATGAGTGGTATGATGCTCATGACATGAGCATATACCGCAGTGCTCTTAGCTGCTGTGTGGTACCAGGGCTGGCCAATGTTGGGGAATACGCAGCTAGACGGGACAACTTCACAGGATTAGCACTGCGAGATGAAGTAAAATACTCCGCTTCGACAAGCACCCTACCTGTATGAGCCTCTTCATTTAGCTAATAATAAAAGGTCTAAGCAATAAGAATTAATTCTTTTTTTAAATAAATGCAGTGTTTAAACTTGTAAGAGTACTGGAAAATGTTCAACTTAAGGGAGCCAAGGGTTGGATTAATGAGTAAGAGGGAAGAAGAAAACAGTTATATTCAACAATGCATAATTTAAAATGAAAAAAAAAAACACACAGAAACCAAATGTAAAGAAATAAGTTTATTTAAAACTTTCACCTAGACGATTAGTTGCTTTAACACAGAACAAGATAGCTTTAGAAACATAAAACAAACGATTGTACAAAGTAACATCTCAAAGTGTCCTGAATTCTATGGCTCCTCTGACTTAAAGAGGGACAACCAAGAGCTGACTTTTGGTCGGTGGAGTGGCATGGATAATGTTAGGTCAAGGAAAACCTCACTGTGTATCAACTTGAACTAAGTATTTATTCCACAAATAACGCCATGAAACCTATCACATGTATTGTAAGATCTTCAAATAAGTAGCAAGCACTACTTTTCACCAGTGCATTATGCAGGAGGACAAAGTTAACAAGTGCGCTATTGTATGTGCTTCGATTAAGACATTTGTAGTAATGGGCAGAGTAAGACAAAAGCCCTACACAGGTAATCATAGAAGAGCAGTTATTTGGCCCTAATTAAAGTTCTGGAAGCAAAATGACTGCTACATTATATTACTGTTATTACATCACTCAGCTATGAGCTGTTTTGTTTCCAATGGCTGGAACACTTATAATGTAAGCTTTATAACAAGCCAGAAAAGAACTATTCTTAAGAAAGTAACAGACTGGAGTAATGACCTGTGCCAAAATGTTTAACAGCTGAAAAAGGAGACCGAATTGTTTGTTAAATATTCTACAATTAGATGACAACCTACAAGCACCCTATTTTGGTTTCACAATTCTGTTAACACTTTCAAAGAACATGAAATGTAGCCAACAGACTCTTTAAAGCTTGATTTCAGGAAAGTACAAACAAAGCTCCTTTAGTTGTGTCTATTAGGCCAAGCGACTAAATACACAATTCAGCTTACTGGTCTACCTATAGTATAGTTGATATTTAGAATTATGAGGCGGGGTATGAAATATTTAAACACACCCCCACAATCCACACTAGTTAAGAAAACATGAAGAGAGAAAAGTCCGTACTGGAAACTGCCTTACCAGCAGCAGTTTAAAATACAAAAACAAATCTTCCATAACATCTTTCCAGCTTTTGTTCTATATTAAAAGTAAGCATTTTTAAAAGAATTTGGTTCTCCAAACACTATTCAAAACCAAATGACCAAAACCAATGAATTTTTTTCTTTTTGCAAAATATTTTTCAGTTGGCACAGCAAAAGCAAAGTTGGATATCAAGATTCACAAGACTAATCATGCAAACAACTGTAGTGTGATGTCTTACTTAAACACTAAGCTCAAGACTGACATTCTCAAAACGGTGGGACAGAGTCAAAAAATAGCCTAAGACAGAAGGAACCTCACTCAATTATGTACAGAAACTTTTTGGTATAATCAATTTCTCTCTCTTCCTCCCACAAAACAAAAGAGATTTGCTTGAATATACATTTGGCTGCCCTTTTAAAGCTTTATTTAAAGTAACAAACACAATCTCTTAAGTTTTCTTCAGAAAAAAATCCCCTTTCCCCTGGCCCCAAAGATTCATTTTAGGCTGCTCAGCATAACCAGCTTCTTTCCAAGTACTCCAAGAAGTAATTTCCAGTTTAGAATTTCAGAATGTCAGCCTTGAACAGATTTAAGCAAACCTGCTTTCTTTTCTTATTAACAAGTTAGTTAGACTATTTCAGAAGTACGAGTTATTGATGTAAAATTGTTAAGTGTGAATTCAAATAGGAAAATTAGAAACTCAGCAGTCTGGAACCCTCACACATCGTCATCATGCAAGGAAGAACTTACCCCTTCTTTCCAGCCATGGTCTAGGCTGCCTGCTGAGTTAAAAACAACAGTTTCAATCATGTTTTCAAAACCATATCACACCTAACTCTTGTAATTTCTGCCACATTATCTTAAAGAGAAAAAAATTCCTATAATAACTTGGTAACAAATTTATCTGTAGTCTCAGAGTAGTCTTCTGAGACAAATAAATAACTTGCAACACCCTCTAGTGAGAGAAGTGGGGCCCTAGTCAGCGCTAAATTATTTGACCTCCACTGAGAAAAGGTTTGCTAGCTGAGTCTATCAGAGAGAATTTTTAAGAATTTCATTCAGCCAGCTCTTCTTACTTGCACAGACCCCTCACGGCTAGGAACGAACAATTCTCAGAATCCAAATGGCTTTTATTAACGTGAACTACAAGTAAGCGGAAATGAGAAATTGGCAGAGGAGGGGTAGAGTAATCCATACTCAAATAGAATATGTTTCTATTTAGTTTCTCCCTCTCCCCCAACCCCGGTCTAAATGGAATGGTTTTAAAGCATGTTCCCAACACATTTACTGAAAATTTGTGTCCTCAGCAAGAATATGAATTTAGACACTTCGTCAGGTTCTCAGTATAAAACCCAAGGGCTAAACTTGGGGCAGTTCTGCAGCAGGTTGAGAGCCAAAATTCCTGGTTGTGCTTTTTTCCTCCAGATGTTTGAAGACAACTGAAATTAACTATGATGGACAAGGAGGTTGAAATATCACTACACTTGGAGTTCAATTTCTAGAATAGTATTCCAGAATGTTTAAGGAGGTAGGGCATTTCAAAAGAAAGAGGAACAATATATTGGGTCCACAATGTAAACCGGTAGAGCAGGAGTTTCATGCTGGACGGCCAACCTGAGTGCTAACTTGTATAAAAGCTTGGTTAAGAGAATCAGAGTACATAAGAATTAAAAATACAAGATAAAAATTTAAGAGTACTAATAATGCATGCAAATTTGGTATTCTAGGCTCAGGCAAGTTCTAATAAAAGTCTAGGACACTGGATAAAAGGTTTTCAACAGTCAGGGCTGAGAGATGTCTTCTCTTTAGCAACCTTTTTCAAAATTCTTACTTTCCACTTGGAAAAGTTTATGTTAGAAAGGAATTTCTATACAATACGCATTCAATTAGAGCACAATTTAAAGTGGAAGGCATCAAGTATTGATTGTCATAGGCATTATTTACACCAGTTCTCTTATCTTCAAATAAGCCTGCAACTTCTGAAATAAGTTTAATTTAATGCCTCTGATTTCTTAGTCTACAATAATACTTTTTATTTTCTTCCAAGAGACAAATTCATATATGCAACTTTCTTTGTATTCTTAATCATCTAAAGATCAATACTTCTTCCAACTACCATCACCTCAGTGGCTCGCTTACAGTCTGTAACACAGCTGCTACAGAAAGAAAGAATATTCAAAATGCATGAAGCAATCAAATTTCTCACTAGAAAGAAAACAGACCTTCTAGAGTAACACAGCAACATATCAATGCAAACATTCTGAAATCATCTTGCTGAAACATTGTGCTTTTTCTTTCCAATTTCAGCTCACTATTGCACACACCTCCTGCAGATGAGGGCTCAATGCATAAATTCTGCTCTTGTCACAACCAACCAGTCAGGGGAAAAAAAAAGGAACATCAAAGTAAATGTGCAAATAAAATCGGTGCTTAAAGCTAGTTCAACACCTAAGTCCCCAAGATAAAGGAGCTCTAATTTGTTGGCAGACAAACAGCCAAGTTACTACACCTGGTTTTTCCACTTGTCTTTAATAAGATCTTATTAGCTAGCACATACAAACCAAAGACAGATAAAGACTGCAAGCTAACAAAAATGACCACGTACTGAACTGAGTTTCCCCCTCTTCAGCTTTGAACTACATTTCCTTTATAGAGGGCAATAAGCCATTCCGGTAAAAAATAAGTTAGTGACATACTTTTTCAAGTAACAGTCTAGATAGCTTCAGCCTCCCACAGGACAGGTGGAACCGCTGAAGCCGCGTGAGAGAAACCTAGCATTCAATCTGAGAGCTTGGCACTCGCCGCATGTTCAGGGCATGCCGATGGATTTCTTGCATCTGTCTAATGCGGTCCTTCTGCCACATTAAGTTTTGAGGCATTGGGTATCTCTGTGTGCCATGCAGGTACCGGTATGGGATTCTCACGTGGCAAGCCGTGGCTCTGCAGCGAGGCTGTGGCATGGGAGGAAGCAGCATCCATCTCTTCCTCTCGGCACAGTACCGGTAGGCTTCTTTTCGATACTGCTTGTCAATGTCATCACTGTTTTTCCAGCCCCCAATGATGAAAACGTCATCCTTGTAATAGCAAATGGCTGCCCCTTCGATGCTGAGGACCTCAGGCGGTAAGCTCTCCAGGATCTCATCAGAAACCTGGCTGGCAATTTTCCTGACTGCCTCTTCGTTTTCTAAGGAGTAACTCTTGGGGCAGCACGACGCTGTCTGATAGAAGTTTGAATTGACCACCGACATCTGGAAAAAGCAGTAATTGTCAATGAGTGGCAAAGATTCCACATCTTGCCACTGTCGGGTCTCGGCATCGTAGCAGGTGATGACAGCCTTTAGTCCGTCTTCAGTGTCGCGGTCAACAGGAGTGCGGGCAGCAATATACACAAACCGATCTTCAATGGCTAATGCTTTGACATCTCGGAGAATCTTTGGCGCTGATTCCAGGTTGTGCCACTTATCGAGTTCAGGATTATACACAGTCACATCTTTAAAGCCAGGACTAAAGTTGCCATGTCCGCCAATACTATAGAGCTTCCCTTTGACCTCTGTCAGCCCAAAGGAATGTTTCCGTGTCATCAGACTACACACATGCTCCCAGGTATTCAAGTTTGGGTTATATCTTTCCACGGTTTTGGCAAACCCTGGCTCCATCGACCCAGCAACATACACATAGGATTCTGTGACCGCGACAGCATGTCCGTCAAGGTGGTTGTGAATGTGAGGAAGGTTGACCCATCTGTCCTCATCGACAAAATAGCCCACACATTCACTTAAATAGTCCCCTCCCTCAGACACACCACCAATCACCATGATCACGTCCATGTTCTGCCCATAGCGAGGTAATAAGGAGACGTGAGAAGCGGGATGCTGGAATGTGCCAGACTGAATATTCTCGGCTCTCAGGGCGTGTCTCTCCACCGCATCAGCCACCAGCTTGACACACACTTCGTTATTGGCCACAAGCCTCTCGGGTTTGACATGACGAGTAAGGTAAGTAGGTTTCATTTGGGATAATCTGAGCAATTTAAAAAGTTCTTCAAAGTATCTTTCTCTCTCTTCAGCATTTCTCTGAACCCACTTCAAAACGGTTTCAAAGAGGACCTCTTCGGAATCAACGGTGATTTCCAAGTCTGACAGCCAGTCTCGAATGAGATGGAAAGGCAAAGTATAAAACTCCTCATCCTGAATGACTTTGTGGAAATTTCTCCTTATCATATCGGCAGCCTTCAGAGCAAGTTGGCTCAGGGTATACATGTGAGCTAAGCTGTGAATAGCTACACAATTAGATAGGTGAAGTTTTTTCTTGAGAAATTCTCCACAAAATTCTTTCAAACGAATTAACAGGAACCTAAAATCAAGAAAAGGAGAAAGGATGAAGTTTCATTTTATTGCATGTGGTTTCCCTTTAAGAGGATATAAACTATACAAAATGGAAATGTTTTGCTGTTGTTTTGGGGCCACATCTGGCAGTGCTTGGGGGGCCATATGTGATGCTGGGGTCAAACCCAGGCCTCTAGCATGTAAAGCATGCACTCCAGTCCACAAACTGAAATGGTAGGAATCATGTCACTTTAAGCACATCTGAAAAAAAGCAAATCCCCCAAATTAAGAATTGTGCTGAAAAACTCTGTTTAAAAAACATAAAGCAATCCTAACTGGGGGCTGGGAAGATGGCTCAAAGAGCTGGAGGGCAAGCTCTGAATAAGGAGTCCTGGGTTAGATCCTCTCTCTTGCCCTGGGTCAGGGGTGCATGCCTTGCACACAGGGCCCTAGATTAAAGCCCTTGGATACATAGGCCCCTCAGCATTTTGAGATGAGGTCCAGTGGCCCCAGGCACTGCTGTGTCAGAGCAGAGTCATACTGCCAGGTCAAGCAATGAATGATTAGGTATCACCAGGAATACAGGAATAGTGTGTGTCCGTCCCCCCCCCCCCGCCCCCCCCCGTACAGCTTGGGAGCCTCCAACCACCAACAAAGAAGAAAACAAAATACCACAATAAATCTGGCAGAATATTCAATATCAAAAACTGACAACTAGACAGTGACTTTAAAAAGAATAGGGCCAGGGGCTAGAGAGAGAGCACAGCGGGTAGGGCGTTTGCCTTGCACGCCAGCGACCCAGGTTCAATTCCCAGCATCCCATATGGTCCCCTGAGCACCACCAGGAGTAACTCCTGAGTGTAGAGTCAGGAGTAACCCCTGTGCATCGCCAGGTGTGACCCCCCCCCCCCAAAAAAAGCAAAACAAAACAAAAAGAATAGGGCCAGAGGCAATAGTATAGCACGTAGGGAGCGCAGCTGCCTTGAATGAGCCAACAGGATTCAATCCCTGAAATCCTGCTGAGTCCTGCCAGGTGTGATCCCTGCGCACAGAGCCAGGAAAAACTCCCCCTCCCCCCACAAAAAAAAGAGTAGGTCCACAGTCAGAGACAGTGCAGGGGTTAAGGCACTTGAAGGCCTGACCCTGGTTCAATCCCCGGCACCTCATATAGTTCCCTGAGCGTGTGATCCCTGAGCATCACCAGGTATGCTGTATGCTCCAACTAAAAAGATTATAATAAATAAATAATACTCCTTATTAGGAGTACATCCACAGAACTGAGAACCTTAACATGTTGACTCTGGCACTGCAATTTGTGTTAATTAAGCCATAATCAAGTGTGAGTCACTGGTGGTCTGTGCTGACACTAACTTGTTAAACATTCAAAGGGGGTCAGAAAGACAGTAGAGTGGATAAGGTGCTTGCCCCGCACACATCTCATCTGGGTTCAATCCTCGGCACCACATATGCTGCCTTGAGTCCCACCAGGAATGGTCCCTGAGCACAGAGCCAGGAGTTAGCCCGGGGAACCACCAAGTGTGGCCCCCAAACAAAACAAAACATTCTAAGGATGATGTGAAGAGTCACTACCCGCTTTACAGTTATGATATTCAACTGTCTAAGCACCATGTAAAGACGGGTAAGCCAGGCTCCTTCACTACTCTCAGGAAAGGTTCAAGCTTAGACAAACAGTAAGGGAGCTGCAGTGCCCCCAAACATGCCTATCAGGGTCACTCAATTCCGAGCCACCTGACTCACTCAGGGGAGCTCCTATTTTAACTAGGAAAGGTGTCAGGAAACCCTGGGCTACAAAAACAGCTTATGTGAGACATCACTTCCTGCAATATTCTTACCTGCCCTGCAAGATGGTGAGATAAGAACAACAGAGTACACTGGGGGTCTGGGAAGGGTTTGGAGAGGGCGGGATTTTGCCTCCGTACTGATAAATAAGATGTCATGGCTGTGGGGCACTCAGAACAGTACCTCACACAAAGCAGCTGCTCAGAAGCCCCAAGAGAGAAGAGCTCCAAGTAGAAGGTCTGGGTCAGGGTCAGGAACCCTGCAGCACAGCCTGCAGGGTCTCTGAAACATTGCAAAGAACTGAGCCTGGTCCTCGTGGGAGTGCTTGGGAGAGCCATTCACGCACTGCGGAGAGCAACCCCATCCCCAAGCACTTCGGAGAGCAACCCCATCCCCAAGCACTTCGCCAGGTGTCCCCCCCCCCCCCAAAAAAAAAAACAAAAATAAAACAGTAACAACAGAGTAAATTTCCTGGGCACTCTGTTCCCTGGCAGCCTGTTCCTAGCCCACAAAACACATTTTCTCATCAATAAACTAAACAACAATAGTGATCTGGAATGTTCTCTTCTTGCCTGAAACCCAGCTCCCCAGTAAAGCAGAGAGAAGCCTGAAAAACAATAGTTCGTGACAAAGCAAACACAGCTTCTCTGTAGCCCAGGTCTTCCACGCGAAAGCCTGCTCCACCCTTTACGCTATCTTTCGGGTTATCTATCCATTTTCAAACCTGTGTCTGGAACACCCAGGAGGGATGTATGACCTAGCCTCAAGCTCTGGGAAAACAGAAGCAAAGCAACCAGGCAATAAACATTATCTGCCTACCATCCAATCAGCCTGCTGGCAGCTGAGCATTCCCAGCTCAAGTTTTCTATGTTCATTTTTGGTTTTGTTTGGTTTTATTGTTACTGCGCCACACCCAGTGGTACTCAGGAACTACTACTCTGAGGCTGCTGCAAGTGGGCATCAAAGGCGACAGCCCCTGAATGCAAAGCCTGTGTTTCAGCCATCGATCACCTCCACCAGTCCCTTTCCATGTTCAATACGGAGTCTATCCCTCTCGTGCCCTTTTGGTTTCAAGGACTCTGCTTCAGCAAACACACTCTTCAACCTTCTGCAACATTAAATTTTCCTCTTCTACAGATTGCTTTTTCATCAGCACACATAAGTATGCCCTAAAACCATTTATCTTGGGAAGCAGGACACAGGGAGGACAGACCTACCTTGACTGTACCCCAAACATTTTCATGTGCATCACTGTTCTGGTCTTTTTATAACAAGTCTTAACTGACTCCCGCTCTAGCCATGGCATCGACCACTTCCTATTGCCAAATAGGTAAGCCCCCCCCCCCCAACTCCTTTGCTAGTTCCTCCTTTAACATTTTGGAGAACCCTAGGGTTCGGTCCTGCACCTTTTCTTCCTAAGGGATTTTAACCAGTCCCAAAGCTTTAATTACCATCTACAGTTTCCTCTTAACATCTATTTCCCAGTACTCTTATATCCGACTGCCTTTTCAGACACCTGAACCTGATCTTTTCACAAGCTCGCTTTCTTTCAGACTTCTACCTTTTAATAAACAAATTTACACCACCTTTCTGATTGCTTGAGGTAAAGAAACTATCAGATGAGCCCAGACGATGGCTTGAAGCACTAGAGCACCAGGAGTCCCAAATTCAACTGCAGTATCTCAGGGCACCCTCTTACCGAAAAATAAAAACAGCTACCGTTGAGGCTAGGGAGATAGTTCAAAGGGCTGAGGTACAGGCTTGGCGCACAGGAAGCTCCAGTTCCATCTCCAGCACCGGGTGTTCTTGCCCTTGTAGACGTAGAGTTTATCTGGAGCACCGTTGGGTCCCAGTGGGGCAGAGCCTGGCTGATTTATGTTGAACACTGCCTGGGAGCCTCCCTCAAAAATAAAAACCTAGTACCGACCTTTACCCTTATACTTCACAATTATCAACAAATTCCTCTTATTTACCTTCAAAATATAGCTAGAACCAAAATACTTATCACATCATCTTTCCCCTTTTTGGGTTAAGGGAGAGAGGTGCAGGAGCTCAGATGCTTAGGGCTTACTTTCTCCTGGCTCTGTGCTCACGGATATTCCTGGTGGGGCACGAGGGACCATATATAGTGCTGGGAAACGCATGCCAACCAAGTGCCCTGCCCGCTGTACTCTTCCTCCGACTTCAAGTCTCCCCCTTCAATCAAGTCTCTACCCCTTGCTACAATCTTCTACACAGTCTCATCTTCAGCCCCTGAACCTGCCCCAGCCCCCCAACCCCATCCTTTCTTCAGCAACATGCTACCCTCCTCCCCGCAGCATCTTGGTCCCAAACCTCCCATCGTCCTGCCGAGGTGTACAGCTCAAGCCGGGTGTAGACCCAACTAGGCGCACAAGCGGCTCCTTCCCCATCTCCACAAGCCCACCCCCGGGGCGGGGGTGGGGGGAGGGGGAAATCCCTTCCTAACCCCCGGGTATCGAAGCCCTCTCCCCCAAACACGCAAACGAGAGCATCATCTCCGTCCCCGGCTGGTCCCACGGCCGCACCCGAACTCCCGAGCCCCGTGCGTGCCCCGCGCTCTTCAGCCGCGTTCACACCCCTGCTCCTCTCTCGCCCCTTTAACCCCAAGCAGGCCCTGGAATGGTGTTTTTTTTTCTTCTTTTTTTTCAAATCCCCACGTCCAGCTGGATCCAGCCGGCTGGCCTCGGGGCTCCCTCCGCGCCCGTACTGTTCGCTCTCCATCCCGCGTGCTCGCGGCGACCCCCCACCCCCACCCCACCACGCGCGCGCGCGCGCCCAACGGCCCCGCCGGCCGCTCGGGTGGGGGGCGGCGCCCCCTCCCCTGCCTTACCTGTCGGCCAGCTCCAGCACCTCGTGCACGCTGCCCGTGCTGACGCGGATGCGCCCGGTGTACATGTACTCGATCACCGCCTCCACCGTGTCGGGCTCGGGCCCGGGCTCCGAGCTCCACTTGCGCATCTCCACCCGGCCCGAGCGCGACTCGGAGAACTGGCCCGAGAGCAGCGGCGTGAAGTACTCGGTGGCGGCGGCCAGCACCGAGCGGTGCGCGCGGAACTCGCGGCCGCCGGCGCCGCCGAAGCACAAGGTGATGTCGCAGAAGAGGCCCTGGCGCCGCTGCTCGTTCTGCCGCCACGACAGCTCCGAGCAGTGGCTGCTGCACTCGAAGTCCTCGGCCTCGGGGCCGGGGTCGCCGCCGCCGCCGCCGCCGCCGCCGCTCGCCTCCATGGCCGCGATGGCCGGGCCTGGCCCGAAGTCCACGGTGCCGCTGCCTCGCACCTCGGCGGCCAGCCCCGCCGAGCCGGCGGCGGCCGTCTCCATACTCTCCATCTCCAGCACCTGAAGAGACGCCGCCGCGGCTGCAGCTGCGGCCGCCGCCACCGCCGCCGCCGCCATCTTGACGCCGCCGCGTCCGACTCCGCAGCCTCGGAACCGCCCGGCCGTTCTGGTGCGACACAGAGGGATTCTGGGAAGTCGTTAGCGGCCGCCGGGAGCGCGCACGCGCAGTAGCCGCTCGCCGGCTTCAGCCCCACCATCTCGCTGGAGGGCGCTTCAGGCAGCGCGCGGGCTCCCGGCCCCATCCCGCGGGCCCCCGGGCTGGTACCTCCCCTCCTCCTCACTCCCTCGCCCGGGGAGTCGGGGAGCCCTCGCACGGCCCTTCTGGACCACTGCACCCACAGGGCTCTCGCTGGAAGCGTTTAAAGGGCGTTGGGGTACCAAGGGCTTGTTTGGGGAGTTGTGCTACTGCTGCGCTGGCGTGGCGGCGGGCAGGGGGCGCCAGTGACTTATTTCTGACCCAGTTTTAGTATCTTCTTCAAAAAAACAAAAAATTATAAATCATCGATGGTGGTGGGGAATGGTTTTAAGGGGACCAAAACAGGTGGGAGAACCCCGCCACTACCCCTGCAGAGCTGGGAGTAAGCCCTGAGCACCACTGGTGTAGCCCAAAACAAGAAAGGAAGGGAAAAAAAAACATGATTTTTTTTTTGGTGGGGGTGGGGGGATCACACCAGATGATGCTCAGAGCTCACTTACTCCTGGCTCTACACACAGGAATTACTACTGGCTACTACTGGCGGTGCTTGAGAGACCATATGGGATGCCTGAAATCCATCCTGGGTTGGCTGTGTGCAAGGCAAATGCCCTACACGCTGAACTATTGCTCTGGCCCCACAACTCATAATTTGTGGTTACAAGTAGAAAGAATGATGCCTGGATTTGGGTCTTAGTATATGTGGGTACATTTTGGCTCCCACTTGCTGAGAAAGGATTAGAAGAGAAAAAAGTGGGGTTTTTGTATTTTTGAAAATAGGGTTTTTGTTTTTGTTTTGGGCAGTGAGTCCAGTGATACTTTCCCAACCTCCTGGAGGATTTGATGCTCTGCAGTACTGGCTACCTCCAAGGCTACCACCTGCAGTACTGGGAGGTTGGGACCCATGTGGCCCTTGGATCAAACTCAGGGCCTCAAGCAAAGGCCTTTACTTCTCCCCTTTGAGCTAACTGCCCAGCCCTGTGTTTTGTTTCTGAAAGGGATAAATAGTTAAAGACCCAAGTCATTATTAGAAATTACATTTCAAGGACCGCTTGGAAGGATATGGAAGCCAGGAGACAAATGGTATATTCTCATTGTTACTATATAGTTTATTTAAACCAAACTATGATAATACAGAGAAAGAGACTGAGGTGGAAGCTGCCCAGAATCTTTGTGGATTATGGATGCAAACTGACTGGAGATGAGTCCTTGGACCCCCACTTCGGTAACAGACAAGTCAGTTGCATAAATACAGAGAACATAAGACACAAGACATTTCACAGCTTTTTGCTTTGCGTTTCCATTTTAAACATATGTATGTTACAACTTTACATTTTAAATGACTACCCCACAGATTTGTGACAGTGGCTAAGGGTACCATGGCCCCTTCCCTCTGACATAGGCAGACTTTGTTCTGCGACATGGAACACTTCAGTGGGATGGCTGACAAACCCTTAACACATAACATACAAAAAAAAAATTCTTTCAAATCAGATTAATACAATGTTCTTCATGTTATAGGAGGGATAAAGGGAAGTGGAAAAACAAGACATGGAGTACTTTAAATGTGTAGTATTTTGAGGTTTTAAAAGTTTCGTTCCCTTCGAGGGAAAAAACAAAAGAAAAAAAAAAGAAAGCAACCTTGTAACACCCTATAAGGAGGAAAAACACTAGCCTGACAATGCTTAGATGCTTCCAGATAATAAATACAGCAGGTAGCAGAGCAAATGTCACAAGTATTGGCTTAGTTTTGATTTCTATGCTTATAAAAAAAAAATGAAGCTTCTTTGAGTGGACTGAACAGTGTTAGCCTGTGGGTTGGTCTTCAGTGGCTGGAACCCGTGGCTGTTTCCATTCCGGGCCCATGCTAGAGCGAGCTTCAAAGCCAGCAGGTCCATCGGGAGCAGGTTGTGTCTTCCCTTGGCCACAGGAGGATTCTTGGCTGTTACATGCTCATGTGTTCCGGAAGAACATAGGAAATATCATCCCATGGGTGACGGTACAGCCCCTGCTTCAGCCTCTTCTGATCAAGATAGTGTCCTGAAATTGGAGCAAAGTTGTTTTGTTTTTGTTTGTTTGTTTTTCGGTCAGGAGCTGCTATTCTTGCTGGGTCTGGTAGACCTCAGGGGACCATATATGGTGCTGGAGAGTTAATCCAAGTCGGCCACATGCAAGGCAAGTGTGCTACCTGCTTTTTCCCTACACTCGTTTTGTGTTTTTTTCTTTTTGGGTCACACCCAGCGATGCTGGGGATCGAACCCAGGTCAGTCACGTGCAAGGCAAATGCCCTACTCGCTGTACTATATCGTTCCAGCCCCTCCCTACACTTTTTGGTGGTGATTTTGTCTGTTGAAGCTTGTAGAGAATAAGGGAAATCTTGTAAACCAAAAAAGCAGATACAAAGAAATGAGAAGTAAATCCCAATCATTCCACAGGGAGGTAAGGAAGCAGTTGGTTTTGATTCTGATTTGGAGCTTGCCTTCAAATCGTTTCCAAGAATGAAGCATAAAAATAGGGGAGACGTTAAAGAAAGGAAGGATGAAGAGTGAAGATTAAGACAATGTTACAGCTCTTTTGTAGACTAGCTACCTGGGTAAGTGGTGTAGCTGGGTAAGTGGTGTAGCTGAACTATGGTTTAAGGAAAAAAAAAAAACTCTTCTTTGTTTTGTTTTGTTTTGATTTTGGGCCACACCAGGTAATGGCTCAGGGTTTACTCCTGCCGGGCTCGAGGGACCCTATGGGATGCTGGGGATTGAACCCGAGTTCTGCAAGGCAAATGCCCTACCTGCTGTACTATTGCTTCAGCCCCTGGAAAAACAAAACTCTTAAAATGACAATGACAACTAACTTACCAATGAAGCCCATACTCCTTCCCAGAACGAAGATGCCGTTGAGGGCGCCAATATCAATATATTCATCAGCTTCCTCCCTGCAACACACAATCAACTTGTAGTTTTTAAACGGCTCACATGATCAACCACAGAGTTCTTTCTGTATGAGTTATTTTTTTGTTTGTTTTTTTGGTTGGGGTCGGGGGTGCGGAGAGGGATGGTGGAACTGTGGTGCTCAGGATTTACTCCTGGCTCTGTGCTCAGAGATCACTCATGGCAGGCTCAGGGGACTGCATATGGGATGCTGGGAATTGAACCCGAGTCAGCTATGTGCAAGCGCCCTACTTGCTAAACTATTGCTCCGCCCCCTTACCCACAGACTTCTGCCCCAAAATGAGAGGCCAACTCTCTGGTTTGAAAATGAAGGGGGGGGGAGGGGGCTCTAGGTAGAAGGAGCAAAGGCACTTTCTTGTTTCCTTCTGTATGCCTGGATCAAAGCCCAGCCCCTGGGACGCAGAGCCGGGCTCCCATCCCTTGAGCCATCACTTCTACAGATTTTCTAACTTCTCTGCTATGCAGGTGCATTGGTTTCAGAGTCAGAAAAACCAACAAAAATCAGTGAACATCATAAAGGAGAAAATGGCTGTGGAGCTTACCGAGTGAAGGACCCACAGTTTCTAAGCATGTCTACAAAGGCAACTCCAATGAGACCGTCTACATTCAGGATGAGATTTGGTTTCTGGGAAGGCAAAACGTTCAAAGCACCGCTCAGTATTTCTCATTTCGACCTTGTAACTTCCACAATTACTGGTGGAAGTTACTACTGTTATTACTTCCACTGCTACTACCATTCCTTTGAATTCTAACATGAACTCATCATGCTGAGTTGTCCCAGGAGTTTTTTTTTTTTTCAGCAAAAAACTTGTCAAACCCTGTGGACCATTCATACATGTCCACTGAACTTAATGATGCACCAGAATTTTTTTTTTTTTTTTTTTTTTTTGCTTTTTGGGTCACACCCGGTGACTCACAGGAGTCACTCCTGGCTCTGCACTCGAGAATTATCCCTGGTGGTGCTCAGGGGACCATATGGGATGCTGGGAACTGAACTCAGGTCGGCGGTGTGCAAGGCAAACACCCTACCCACTGTGCTATCACTCCAGCCCCTGTACCAGAATAGTCTAAGAAAACAGGCGTGACATTTGGTACCCCGTCCAGAGGTAACCTGGCTCTCAGTTCCTCCAGGAAGTCCCCCCAACTCCAACGGGGAAATAGGGGCACTATTTTACCTTTGAGGTGGTAATCTTCTCCACTTCCAGAGCATAGTCGAGCAGTGGGGTAGCAGGGAAGTGCTGTCGGACATAATCTTTGAGGATCTGCACCCGCATATCTGGGTTGTTGATCTAGAAAGTGACCGGGAAGTCGGGAGAAAACCATTGTCACTGCTGAGGAACAAACCCTTGCTGATGCTTGGTGAACACGTGGAGCAACCTGAACCCCAGAGAGGGCTTCAGGACCTTGATCCAGGGGCAGTGGAACAAACTGTGCCACGATGTGCCAGGAAGACTCGCAGGTCTCGCAGATCTCACTGGGGGCTCTGAAGAACCTTTATACTTGCTTTTTTTCCATGACAAGCGAGGAAATGAGAATAGGAGATGGGAAGCGAGTCAGTCCTGGGTCTTGGGTGCTAAGTGGCAGGCAGCGCACCTCTCTCATCAGAATTCATGGGTTCTAGACACTTAGCTCTGCAAACTACTTAGAGCCAAACCAAGTTCTACGTAAACATTTGTTGGAAATGGGGCTTCAAAGCACCCCTGAAATTTCAGGAAAAACTCTGCATGTGTGATGGAGATGAACCAGGTATTTTTGTAGTTGTTTTTTTTTTGGGTCACCATCTGGCAGTGCTCAGGGGTTACTCCTGGCTCTGCGCTCAGGAATCACTCCTGACGGTGCTCAGGGGACCATATGAGGTGCCAGGGATCGAACGCGGGTAAGCCGTGTGCAAAGCCAGTACCCTATCCACTGTACTACCTATCTGACCCTATCTATGTGGCTCTTTTGGTTTTATTATTCTACTACAATTGGGTGCAGAATAATAAATAGGGCTGGGCCGCACCTAGCCAACCTTAAGGGGCCCAAGCTGTGCAGGGGAGTGACCGGAGTTGGCCGCATGCCAGGCAAGCACCTTCAATCCCTGTACTATCTCAATGGCCCCATTTCTCCCCTTTTAAAAATTATTTTTGAACTCTTTGTTAAAGAGATCCAAATTATACAACCTGCCGGTGGGGAACGAGATTCAGATACACACCTAATCTCCAAATAGCACCAACGGTCTGCTCCAGCAGAGGGGCAGGCTGAGAAGGGAGGAGTCAGGCGGCCCAGCCCTGACATGCTTTCATGCCCCATGCTGCCTGCTCTGGAGTGGGGGTGGGGGCGGGGCTGGCACTACCTCCCCCAGTTCTAACGTCGTCCTTGCTTCTCTAGCAATCTCTGGACTCGACCAAGCGAAGGTTGGGGGTGATGGAGTCAAGATCCCTGGGGCTGAGGACCCTACGGCAAGGGGCGGGCCCACAAGGACCTTTTTCTCTCTCCCTCTGATTTCTCAATACAAACAGGACTTGCTTTAGTGGGAGACAATGATCTGGTTCAAAAACACTCACCCCCACCCACAACCCCCTGCCCTTGGCCTCTTCCCACTGACATCAAGTCTAACCGTGTGACTGATGTTGGCTAATGAAATGGGAGTGTTAGTGAGCTACACGTCAGGAGCAGACTGGGAGGCAGCCATTGCTGCTGGGCCGCAGAGACAACTCACCGGGCGAGTGTGCACCAGGAGGTCCAGGCTTGCTCCAGTACTACATGGCCCCCCAGCAACTCCCTAGCTAGGAGCAACCCCCTGAGCACTGTCAGGTGTGGGACCCCTGCCACCCCCCAACAGAAACCTTTCTTGTGGTTCTGGTATAGCTATTTCCCTCTGGACCAGGCTCATTGGGGCTGCTCCTTCAGCATCGCCCTGCCCTGCAGGGGCCCCCCCACTATCCAGAGAGTGAGGGAGAGACAAACCACTGGTACTGGCAAACTGGTGTGGCTCGAGCTTCAGCTGGCAAAAAGTGATGGCTAACCCCACCCCACGCTGACCCCCCACTCCCCACCCCAGCCCTGACCTTAGTCCTTTCTCCTGAAAGGATCCTTTGGAAAACTAAAGTTCCCAAGACTCCAGTGCTTCAGTTCATCAAAGCTCACACTGCAGCTGAACCCAATAAACACCATTTAAGGGCGTCTCGATGGTAAGGGGAAAATTAGCTGCCTCATGTTGGCATCTGTCAACAACATACCCAAAACTTGGCCCAGCAGTGGGAGTTGAGAGCTTGGGTGTTCCCAACTAAGTCAGTGTTGGCATCACCACCCACTATTTATATGTGTGTGTGTGTGTGTGTGTGTGTGTGTGTGTGTGTGTGTATATATATATATATATATATATATATTTCCCCCCACCCCCCGGAGGGGAGAAGGAGTGTACTCCTGGCAGTGCTTAAGGAGATGCTACGAGGGGCTGTATGGACTGCGGGGATACCAAAGCAGGGCTGCCACATGCAAGCTGAGCACCTTGCCCGCTCTCTCGCCAGCCTCCTCCCTGTATATTCAGGAGAGAAAACACGTACCGACTTCACTCGGTGGCCGATGCCCATGATCAGCTTGCCTTCCTTCTTCATCTTGTTCACAAACTCCATGGGAATAATGCCACTATCGAACGCTTTGCTGAACATCTTGGCTGCGGCGTCCAGAGCACCCCCAAAGCGGTCCCCCTAGAGGAAGAACAAGCCCGTATTGCTTTAGGCTGTCAAAGACCTGAGTGCCCTGCCCCGGTTCTGCCCTGCTAGCCACCCCCGACAGCACTCACGATGGTGAGCAGCCCTGACGTGAGGCTGGAGACCAGGTCCTTCCCAGCGCGTGCGCAGATGATGGTGTTGTGGGCACCGGACACTGCGGGCCCATGATCAGCCGTCACCATCAGGCACATCTCAATGAACTGGCAGGAGTACTTGGGCAATCTAGAGGAGGCAAGGCAAGTGGGCAGGAGAGGACAGTGGCAATCTCCTAATCCCCCCCCCCCCGCCCCCCAGCTTGGGACTTTGCTCTATCAACATTGCCTTTTTGGGGAGGGATGGGTGGGTGGCTGGGCCACACCTGGGTCTGCTTGGGGCTTGCTCCTGGTTCTGTGCTCAGGGATGGCAGTGTTCAGGGACCATATGCAGTGCCGGGGATGGAGCTGGGCTTGGCCACGTCCAAGGTGGATGCCCCAACGCCCATCTTCTTTGGCCCTCCGTACTGCTTTGCAAGCAGCCCATAGCTGAGCCGGGAAAGGTTCTGCTTCAGGCAGAGGTTTCCAGCATGAGCTGCTCTGACTCGGCCTGTATTTGTGGCTGCCGTCTATGCACCCCATCTCCTGTCCCCAGACTGGGTCAATGGAACAGGGTTTCCAACTGCCAAATGATGGTGCAGAACGAAGTCTAAGGACAGGAGGGCACAAGTGCAGAGAGAAGCTGCTCAGGTGATAAAACCTGTCAACTTTTCTCAGGAGGGGCCCCAAACAGAACCAAACACATGTCTCTGCAGATGAGGGCATGACACAAACCCAGGCTCTGACCTGGCCTCCTGCCCAGTACCACCCCCTGCCAGGACTGCCGGGAACCATGTACTCCTTGCTCCCCTGCCCCTGCCCCTGGAATGGGGGCTGAGCTCTGATGTTGTAGCGAAAACCAATTTTTGCTTTATTGCAGCTGATGAGATGAAGACGGCAGAGGACTCAACTACAAAGTACTGACTGTCGACTCAGCAGCCCTCCCAGGCCCACACCATGGAAACGGCCAGATCTGCCCAGCTCTCCAGGGCCAGCCCCTCGGGGCTCACACTGTGGAAGCGACCAGATCCACCCAGCTCCTCACGGCCTGCCTTCTGCTCCTCGCAGGTCTGCCTCTACTTTCCATTGCTTTACAAGTTCCCAATGGAAAGGGGCTGGTCCAAGGGCGGCGATGAGGTCCTGGCTTTCTAGCCTTACTTCAGACCAGGCTCCCAGCCTTGGGAGATTCAGGAACAGCTTGTAGCCTCTCGGGCCTTTCTGCTGTTCTGTGGCCACCAACATGGGCCCAGGCGCCCCTCCCAGGGCTGCCACCACCACTCATCCTGGTTAGGGTACACGGCGGGGGGTGGGGGTGGGGGGAAATGCTCATCACAGGGTTCACTGTCTCTGCCCTCCAGGCCTCACCTTCTCTGGAACCAGAGGAGGCCGAGGACCCCGCCAATGCCCATCTCTTCCTTGAAGACCTCCGTGATAGGCATGCCCGCGTAGATGAGTTCCTGCCCACGCTCGTCGCAGATGCTGGTCATGAATGATGCCGGTTTGCGGATCAAGCCCAGTTCCTGTACAGAGAGACAGAGCAGAGGGGGAGCTCATTACTCCTCGTGCTAGGGCAGAGGAAGAGAGGCTTGGAAACACCCTGAGGGCACCTGACCAAGAATCCAGAGGAAAAAAATGGGGGTGGGGGAGAGGTCTCCCAAGCAGTGCACGGGATCTGGGGCCACTCCTGGCAATACTCGGCCACTGAGTGTTTGATGCTCAGGCCCGACAGAGCTGCCAGCCACTGGGGCCACCCCAGAGGTGCTCCAGGAGTCATGCAGTGCTGGGGTGGGGCTTGGGGGCCTGTGCCTGCAAACAATACGCTCCAGGGCCAGAGCAGTAACACAACAGGGAGGGCAGCTTGCCTTGCACGCTGTCAACCCGGGTTCAACCTCCGGCAGCCCATTGGGTCCCCTGAGCACCACCAGGAGTGATCCCTCAGTGCTTGGGTGTGACCCAAGCACTGCCAGGAGTAATTCCTGAGTGCAAATCAGGAGTAAACCCAGCACTGGGTGGGGTGGCCAGAAAACCAAAACCAAAACAAATAAAAGGAATATACTCCAGCTCTTGGGCTCTCTCCCAGACCCCAGAGGAAAATGTTTGGTTTTCTTTTTTGGGCCACACCCAGAGGTGCTTAGGGATCACTCCTTGGCAAGTTCAGGGACCCATACAAGGTATGGAGGCTTGAATCCTCACAGTCCTAGGCAATGCCTTGTCTGCTGTACCTCTTCGGCTCCCCTAGTGGGAACATTTTGAGACTCTCCACAATGGTGAGTCAGTCGCTAGCCACTCTGTCAAGCCTATTTCCCCAAACCTCCCCCCTGAACTCTGATTAAAAAATGTTCTGAACCTAGTGGCAGAGCACTTGCCTTGTGTGCCTGAGGCCCTGGGTTCAATCCTGGCAACACACACCCCGAAAACAGAAATCAGTTCTTCATCTGCATCTCTAAAGCAAGCAGTAAGAGGGGACTCTACTCCTCTCTGACATTCCCTAACAAGTGAAGCAAAGATTCCGGGGGCCAAGAGACAGCACCAGAGTTAAGGCACTTGCCCTGCATATTCAAGGTCAGGGTCAACCCCAGGCACTGCGTTATGGTTCCCTGACCATAGCCAGGGATCATTCCTGCGCAGAGAGCCAGAACAGCTCCTGAACACCATGTTGTGTTGGACAAAGGTCCAAATGAAACAAACCTTCCGGGGGACACTGCCCCAAATGCTTCTGTGGGGCACATTTGCTGCCCTGTGACTTCCTGGGCCCTGGGTTGTTTCCTGGTGCTCAGAAGGAGCCAACTCACAGGTTCCAGCACACAAGGAGGAACGTGGGTCTGAGAAGAATGGCTATCGTTCCCCTGAAGGCGAGATTTGCAGCCCAGAGAGAGGACGACAGGGTTCCTCTCATGAGGCAGGAGGGGCCTGGTTTCCAGGGATTTGAGCCCAGTCAAGTCCACACCACCACTGTCACCCTCACGCTGCCCTAAGGATTTCCCCAGCACCTACCCTGGCCCAGGAATAGTCCATTGGCACGGTGGGGGGCGGCACCTCCTGAGCGGGTACGATGGCCCCTTTGGCCACAAGATCCTCGTACACAGACCTGAGAGGTGAGGGAGAGGTGGAGAAAAGACGAGACGGGTGTTGTTATTCTGGATTCCTCCAAGCCATCCCAAGAATGTACCAGCAGCTTGCTTTTACCCGCCAGATTCCCCAGGACTCGTGGAGAAGCCCAACAGCCCATGGCCCCCTTCTCTGGAGGAAGCTTTAGAGGACGTTGAGTCTGGAGGCCAAGGCAGGGCCAAGGGGAGGATGAGGAAGAGACGACAGGAGTTCCAATTACTCTTTAGCAACCGAGAACACACTCGCTCAATTCTCACTCAGGACCAGCCAAGTAGGTGGGCTCAGAAGCTGAACTCAGAACCTGTAACTGCCGGGGCTGAAGTGATAGCACAGCGGGTAGGGCATTTGCCTTGCACGTGGCCAACCGGGTTCGATTCCCAGCATCCCATATGGTCCCCTGAGCACTGCCAGGAGTAATTCCTGAGCGCAAAGCAAGCCAGAAGTAACCCCTGTGCATCGCCGGGTGTGACCCAAAAAGCAAACAAACAAACAAAAAGAACCTGTAACTGTCGCTTCTACAGGCAAAGGGAAAGCCGCAGTGAGGGTGGGGGTGGCGGGGGCAGGGTCCGGGAGCACCTGCACAACTCGGCCCGAGGAGTTTGGGAACCTTGGTGGACAGTGTGCGGGACAGGGCGCTGCTCGAGAAAGGAAGGGGCCTGGCTGCCTCCCAAGGCCACTCACTGGATGATCTCTCCAAGCTCATCAAAGCTCCGGGGCACAAATACTCCGGCCTCTTTCAGAGCCTGGTTCTTGGCTACGGCCGTTTCCGAAGCTTGGTTGGCACATGCTCCAGCGTGGCCGAACTGGACCTGGGAGGCAGAGAAGAGGTGGTGTTACAAGTCCCGTTCAGTCCCCCAAGAGAGAACGTGGGGTCCTGGGGAAACTCCGGCGCTTAGAGGCTGGACCCCGATCACTTGGGTCCCGCCTCTGTCAGGCTCACTGAGCAGGTGGCAAGGATAACCCTCCTTTCACAGACGAGGAAACCGAGGCACAGGAGTCCAGGAGCTCACTTAAGTCACACAGCTACCTCCGCCTGCTCCCCCTTGGCAGCTTGGTGGCCACCATCCTCCAGAGGCCATTGGATAGTCAGGTTTGGTCCCGCAGTGATGAGACATATTGGGGCCTCATCAGATGGAGTTGGAACTGGTCCTTTCCTCCCCGCCCCAACAAGATCCCAGGTCGCCACCCACGAACGGCCTCTCTGGCTCCTGATCAAGCTGCTTAATGGCCATGATCCCAGAGACTCAGGAACAAATCTCGGAACCCAGCAGGTTTTGGCAGAAATCCCTCCAGATTGAATTGTTAAAATTTTGGAATTCCAAAATCACACAGCCACTACTGCAGCCGCGTGACATCATATGTTATTCATAATCAGCGATAGAAAACAAATTGTCTATGGTTGCCTTTACAGCAGATCTGAGTGTTGGGGTAAAATCCCAAATAATAATGGTGGGTCTGGTGTCGAAATATTGAAAGTAATCAAAGTAGAGAGAGAATAATGTGGAAATCATCTGCCCCACAGGTAGGGGTATGGGGGGTAGGGGGTATACTGGGGTTTCTGGTGGTAGAAAATGGGCACTGGTGAAGGGATGGGTGTTCCGTCATTGTGTGACCGAGTCTTAAACCCAAAAGCTTTGTAACTGCTCTCACGGTGATTCAATAAATAAATTTATAAAAAGGAAAAAGAAAAAAAAAAGTAAGGTGGACGGGGATGGAGCAATAGCACAGCGGGTAGGGCATTTGTCTTGCATGCGGAAGACCCGGGTTCGATTCCCAGCATCCCATATAGTTCCCTGAGCACCGCCAGAGGTAATTCCTGAGTGCAGAGCCAGGAGTAACCCCTGTGCATCGCTGAGTGCAATGCCAAAAGCAAGAAAGAAAAAAAGTAAGGTGGAGTTCATGCCCAATTCAATCAGCCTAATCAATGGCTGAATAAATAGCAATAATCCTACATTTAAAAAAAAGTCACACAGCTATTGTGTATTAGTCTGAGAGTGCAACTCCCCAAATATCTTCTTTCGGCTTCTCTTGGGGAAGGGCTGGAGAACAGCAGCCAGGTGGCCCATCTAGAACCTCCACAAGACAACATAGCAATTGGGGCCGGAGCTATAGGACAGCGGGGAGGGTTTTGTCTTGTAGGTGGCTGATCCAGGTTCGAACCCCGGCATCCCATATGGTCCCCCAAGTATCACCAGGAGTGATTCCTGAGTGTGGGGCCAGGGTAACCCCTGAGCATTGCTGGATGTGGCCCAACCGCCTACACTCTCTCTCCGCCAGAAACAGCAAGCTTGAGTTGAGTTCGGGCAGGACCTGACCGTAAAATTAAAATTTACATCATAATTTTGTTTGGGGGTCAACCCAGTGATGCTGACCCACTTACTAATTACTGTACCCACCGTACTACTGCACTGGCCCATCCTGGACATTTTGGGAGGAGGTGAGCCTACACCTATTGAGTGCTCAGGACGTACTCCTTTTGAGGCTTGGGGGTGTTACAAATCTAAACGGATTGGCATGTGCAAGGCAAGCACCTTAGCCCCTCTTAACTGTCTGGCCCTGTCCTGGACACACTTTTCTAAAAGGAAAAGCAACAATAATAGGGGCTGGAGCAATAGTACAATGGGTAGGGCATTTTCCTTGCATGCAGCCAACCTGGGTTCGATTCCCAGCATCCCATATGGTCTCCCGAGCACCGCCAGGAGTAATTCCTGAGTGCATGAGCCAGGAGTAACCCCTGTACACCGCTGGGTGTGACCCAAAAAGCAAAAAAGAACAAATAATAATAATAATAATAATACTTTCTGGAAAACAAAGTAGGTTTGTCCCCCTGGGCCACTGTTCCTACAGAGTAACCATTCCCTGGGCCAGTCATCCACTGCCCCTTCCACGTGCGTGCACTGAGGTTTGAGTGGGAAATCCCCAGGAACATGTGGGCTGATGGCGAAAGGCAGCCAGGGAGAGGGACGAGACAGTGACGGGGGTGAGCTTAGTGGTGGCTGTCTTTCTGAAGCTATGAGAAAACGAGAGAGCAGTGGGCATCTGGGGCCCCACCCCAACCCAGGGCAGGTGGGGAGTGACCTGAACTGCCCTCCGGTGTCGCAAGGGCAGGGCGCTGGCCCAAGGCACACAGGTAGCAAGCGGGCAATTCGCCTCCCAGTGTGCTTGTGGCCATGACGGGTAACAAAAAGGGCCTTCAGTGTGGGGGAGATTAGGCACTGCTGCTCTGGCTGCGAGGCTGGAAGTAAACACGGGGCTCAAAGTAGCACATTGTTGGGCTTATCGGCGCGGCTGGGTGTGGGGAGAAGAGGCGCGGGCCTCACACTCGGAACACGCCGGGCTGGGCTCACGCGGTTACACAAGCTTAACCTTGAGGTTTCTCGGAGCCAAGAGCGCTGATGGACGGATTGGTTGAGTTTTCATTGGCTCCCCACCTCCCCCTCACCCCCTATTCTGTGCCTGCCCGTGAACAGAGGGTCCATACACTTGGCTGCCTGCTCAGCACCGATAGAAGCTCCCTTTGTTCTCTGCTGGTTTGAGTTGTTTGTTGTTGTTCCAAGGCTCAAGGCTACAGGACCCACTTCTGAGAAGTGCAGCCTTACCGTTACCCACTTCTCCTCCCATTCCCTGCCTGGTTTCTTCTTTCGCCGCCACCCAGGGTTCTACCCGGTGATACTTAGCGCTTACTCCTTCCTGGCTCCGAGCTCAGGGATCACTCCTGGAGGGCTCGGGGGACCATATGGGATGCCAGGATCAAACCTCGGTCAGCCACGCACAAGCCAAGTGCCCTACCTGCTGCTGTACTATCTCTCCACACCGCCCCTAAACCTTAAAAAAAAAAAAAAAAGGCAGCTTAAGCCTTGTCTTCTTAAGGAATCCCAGTTCATCGGGTGGCTGGTTCTGGCTCGCGACTCCCGGGGGCACTCTCTGACCTTAGTCTTCCTCACTAAGATCCGAGCTCCAGAGAGCTATACCTTGACCTGGTGAGTGAACCAGCAGCGAACATTCGTGAAGGGACGACCCAGAATTAATGCTGCTGGCTGCAACAATCGCCCCCTCCCACCCCCACGCCCTCGGCCTGCCTAGAGGCAAAAGTGCCATGCCCGGTCTTACCTCGGAGGAGAACATGGTGGCACAGGTCCCGATGCACCAGCAGACCACGGGCTTGGTGAGGCGACCCTCCTTGATGCCCCGGCAGATCTTGTATTCCTCTGTGCCCCCTATCTGTCAGGGACCGGGGTAGGAGAAGAGCCTGTGGTTAGTGCGTCCCACCGCAGGGAACAGCCCAGGACACAGGGGCCAGAGTCCTCCAGCGTCCCAGGGCAGAGCTGGGTGAGGAAAGGAGGGGACCCTTTGCCCCAATAATTGTGAAAGAGTCGAATCTGCCTGGAGGGCTGGGAAGGGAGTGCAGGTGACCTCAGAGAGTGCCTGGGCTCCGTGTTCCTGACAGAGGCCAGCCATCAGCAGAGGCAGAGCCTGGGGACAGGTTCTGCAATGTCCTCATCCAAATGAGACAAATGCATGCTCTGTTCCAGCCCTCTCCCCTCGCCAGCAGCAGAGAGACGGCCGGCCAGTGTGGAGTGTCGTCTGCACAGACAAACGTCTCGGCACTGGGAGGCAGCAGCTTCTTTTTTCAGGGACAGACACGGTGCCAGAGGTGGCCACCATGGGCCGGGGCTGGGGCTGAAGTCGTGGAGCACTGGCCTTCCAGATGCCAGGCTCTGGGCTGGCTGGGTCCCCAGCACCCGGTTGGGAATGTCCCTCCTTGCATTGCTTTACCTCCCAGCCCTGCTCAGAGGCTGTTCCTGGCTCTGGCTCTCTGACACCTGGCAGTGCTGGGGGGAAGGGAACCATATGTTCCATAGGTGCTGGGGATTTGAACCGGGGCTGGCATCGTGCAAAGCAGCACCTGAACCCCTGTACTGTCTCTCCAGCCCAGTGTGATCCTCTATTTTTTTGGGTCACAGCCAGCAGTGCTTAGGGCTTACCCCAGCTCTGCACTCAGGAATCACACCTGGTGTGCTTGGGGGGCCTTATGGGGTGCCAGGGATCGAATATGGGCCGGCTGTGTAGAGGATTCCCAAGTGCAAAGCCAAGAGTAACCCCAGAGCACCGCTGCAAGTGGCCCAAAAACAACACAGTAAGACCAGGAGCCAGAAACAGCTCAGTGGGCCAAGCACATCTGCGGCATGAGGAGGACTGGGTTTGCTTCTAGGCACTGCATGGTCCCCCGAGCACTGCCAGGGATGATCCTCAAACACTGGTAGTAGCCTCCAAGCACCACGAGGTCTGACCCCCCAAATGAAATAAAGTTTTAAACAAATCAATGGGTTGGGGGATGGCTCTGAGGCCCAGAACACAGGCTTTGCCTTTGGGAAGCCCTGCTCTGATCCCACAAGTGAGTTGTCCCCTAAAAAATGAGCCAGACAAAAAAGTATAGTCGAAGTGATGTCTGCACTTGTGTGTTCATTGCAGCACTGTTTACAATAGCTAGAATCTGGAAAAAACCTGAGTGCCCAAGAACAGATGACTGGTTAAAGAAACTTTGGTATATCTACACAATGGAGTACTATGTAGCTGTTAGAAAAGATGAAGTCATGAAATTTATATACAAGTGGTACTAACTACATGGAAAGTATCTTGCTAAGCGAAATGAGTCAGAAAGAGAAGGACAGATATAGAAAGACTGCATTCATCTGGGGAACATAAAGTAACGGGGTGGGAGACTAACACCCAAGAATAGCCGAGATAAGTACCAGGGGGTTTACTCCATGGCTTGGAGGCCAGCCGCACACACTGGGGGAAAGGGCAGCTCAGATAGAGAAAGGAGCACCAAATAAAGGGTGTTGGGAGGATCCTCCCAGGATGGGAGATGTGTGCTTGAGAGTAGACTATAGACCGAACACGACTGCCACTCAATGCCTCTTTTGCAAACCACAGCACCAAAAAGGAGAGAGAGAACAAAAGAGAATGCCCTGCCACAGAGGCAGGGTAGGATGGAGGGAATGGGGGGTGGGAGGGATACTGGGATCAGTGGTGGTGGAGAATGGGCACTGGTGGTGGGATGGATACTCGATCATTGTATAACTGAAACCCAAGCACAAAAATTTGTAAGTCTACAACTGTACCTCATGGTGTTTCACTAATAAAAATTAAAAAAAAAAAAATGAGCCAGAGAGCCACTGAGCACCTCTGGATATAGACCCAAAGTGAATAAAAAAGGTGACAGTCTCTAGGCCCCAGAGTTAGGGGTAGAGCTGCCAGGGACTGTCACTTGATACATAGAAATTCATAAAAACTAAACGCATTCTCCCTCTCTCTTTGGTTTTTATGTCTACTCTGGCAGTGCTCAGCAGTCAGTCCTGGCCATACTGGAACATGTGCAGTGCTGAGGATAGAACCCAGGTGACCTGCGTGCAAAGTATGTATTCTAGTCCACGGGGCTCTCACACCAGCCCAAGCAAACAAAACAGAAAGCAAAATAAGAAAGACAAATTTAATGATCAGAAAACTGGGGCTGGAGCAATAGTACAGCCGGGGAGGCGTTTGCCTTGAACGCAGCCGACCGGGGTTTGATCCCTAGCGTCCCATATGATCCCCCAAGCACCACTAGGAGTAACTCCTGAATGCAGAGCCAGGAGGAACCCCTAAGCATTGCCGGGTGTGACCCCCCCAAAAAAAACAAGGAAAAAAAAAGAAAACTAGGAAGGCTTTGAAAAGTTAACTCACCTCCCCGAGAACCACAATCATCTTGACCCCCGGAGTGTCCTGGTAACGGAGCACGTGGTCCATAAATGTGGAGCCAGGGTACCTGGAGAGAGCGGGGTGGGGGTGGGGCTAGAGGTGAGTGGGGAGGTACTTGAACAGATGTGGGGTGATGTGTGGACCAGAATTGCTGTGGGGGTGTCGTGGGGTGGCTGCCCAGTGACGGCCCAGAGAGGCCTTGAAACAACGGGTGGATGTGGAGATAGCAAATGGAGTACAAGGAAGGGACAGGAGAAGCGTCCCCACACCCAGAGGCACTGGCTCAGCTGTCGGGAACACCAAGAGAGCAATACGGGGGGCGTGGCCGAGTCCTGGGAACAGATGGACCTTCAGGCCTGTTCTGGCAGGGGCCCAGACTAAGTGACTAGTTTCTAACTAGCCACAGAGGTGAGTCTGTGACCTCGCCCTCTGACCTTCAGGCCTAGCTAAGACAAGAGGAGCTTCTGTAACTGACCCTGGAGGCAGCCAACAGCCAGCCCCACACCAGCTCCTGCCTCCTCCCTGCCAGAGGCGCCCAGAGAGCGCCTTTCTAACCCACAGAACCATCTGGAGAAGAAATCTTTCTAACCCACAGAACCATCTGGAGAAGAAATGCGTGGCATTATTTGCAGTCATTCATCCGGTTTACAAGCAGGCTGCAGATACTATATGGTGCTGACCTGGGCCCAGGAAGGGAACTTCTAGTGAGGACTGTGAATGGGACACAAAAATTAACATGGGTGTTGGCAAAAGGATTAAGGCCACACAATCCGGGGATTTCTGACAGGCTCAAGAACTAAAAAACCCAAAGCCACAGAACACGAAACATGGCCCAGACTCAACTGACCCCAGAAGTTTTTTGTATAGGGACACCTGGGAACAGGGGGTCTCCAGACAGGACATAGCCCTAAAAACCTCGGAGTGGGCATCCCTGCCCCTGGGCCCCACTGAAGCGATCTGGTGGTCAGGAGGCCCAAGGGGACACGGTCTCCCAATGGTGCTCACTTTCTGGACCTCGAGATAATTGCAGGTGCGATGGCAATAATAAAGGGGAGAGACTCGCTCTTAGAGATGAGATTCAGTACCAGGTTGTACTAAAGATATTGCTCCAGTGAGTGCCTACTGCCTGCGGTTCCCCCCTAACTAAAATAACACAGAGGCTGTTGGCAAGAAAGTAAGAAATATGTTTTGGATTCTGTCCCAGGTTCCTGAAAGAGCTCCTAAACTTGTCTTTCCCCCCACCCACCGTGCTAGGGATGGAGGTCAGGGGCCCCTACATGCAAGACAAGTAAGTACTACAGCTGGGCCACACCCCCTGGCCTTCCCACAACGTCCAGAATCTCCTGTGACGGGTGTGAGGAGGTTCTGATATTTGTTCTTTTGTTTTTATGGGCACTTACAGTGTTGCTCAGGGGAAAAATGGGTTGGTGGGGGTTAAACCTGGACAGGCCATGTGAAAGACAAATGTCCTACCCTCTGTGTTTTCTCTCTAGCCTCCTGATATCTCCTGATATTTGGTCTTTGACCCTGGTTCTCGACATAGAGTCCCTAAAATTCTTAGTTCTCTCTCTCTCTCTCTCTCTCTCTCTCTCTCTCTCTCTCTCTCTCTCTCTCTCTCTCTCTCCTGTCTCTCTTCTCTCTTCTCTCTCTGGAGGAGCTCTGGCGTAGCTCTGGCGGGGACCATATGGGGTGCCGGGAATCGAACCCTGGTTGGCTGCATGTGAGGTGAATATCCTCCCCTCGGCACTACTGCTCTGGTCCGAATTCTTGTCATTTTTTTAGTACAGCATCTAGCAGAAAGCTTCCAATGGGGAATCCCCTGGGTGATGGGAGTATCTCCTGCTTTAACGAGGTAACTCCTGGGGGTCTCTTGGATGGGGGCTAGTCAGTTAGGCCAGGCTGGCCCCATTCCCAGTCATCACCTGGAGGGCTGGGGGTCAGCATCCCAGGCCAGCACAGTCAGGTGCTGGGAGGGGTGGGGCGGGGCAACCCCACGTCTCCCCATCCCTTCCCCACAGCCCCTTCACCCCACTATTGACATCTCATCTCTCTATTTTTTTTTTTTTGCATTTTGGGTCACACCCAGCGATGCACAGGGGTTACTCCTGGCTCTGCACTCAGGAATTACTCCTGACAGTGCTCAGGGGAACATATGGGGAACATATGGGATGCTGGGAATTGAAGCCGGGTTGGCTGTGTGCAAGGCAAATGCCCTACTCACTGTACTATCTCTCCAGCCCAATACCTCAACATATCGGTGGTCCACGGAGCCCACCAGGAGTGATCTCTGAGCACAGAACCAAAGGAAAGCCCTGCGCATAGCCAGGTATGGCCCCCAAATCAAAAACAACCCGGCATGCTGGTACGTACATGTGTCCTGATTTCTGTGAGTCATTGAGTCACTCACCTAACCCAAAGAAAGGGTCACGGAAAGTTACATTTAAAGCCCATGCCAGCCATTCTGCAAAACTCAGTCTAGATTTGTGGCTGGGTTTGGCTACGTAGCACCGGCTGCTGGGGCTGGGCCCTTGCCGTGGCCTCCCACCGTCTCCAGTCCTGCACACCTCACTGGCAGGTCATGTCATGGACAAGCCTGGCTATTTGGTGCCCGGGAGTGTAAGGGGTGTGAGAATGAGGCAAGAGTTGTTCCTTTCACAGTTGCCGGCTACCGTGAACCATGGCTGTGTCCTCAACCACCATTCCTGCACTTCATCTCAGTTCACCCACACAGCGGCTGCTGGCCTCCAAGCCAGTTGACCGGATGGGCGATGGTACCACCTCTAGCCACACACCCCTCACAGCTCCCTGGGGAGACAAGGGGAAATGGGATTTGAAGTCCTTGGATTTGATTTCAGACGGGGTCCTTGGCTAAGCACTGCACACTGCTGCCTCCCTATGGCCACAATGGGCAACAACAGCCTTACCAGGGCTGGAGATAGGTACGGCGGGTAGGGCACTTGCCTTGCATGTCTTGGATTCCCGGGACCCAAGCCCCTCTACGAGTGATCCCTGAATGCAGAGCCAGGAGTAAGTCCTAAGCACCGCTGGGTGTGGCCCAGAGTAAAACAAAAGAACAAATTAAAAAAAAAAAAAGGAAAACAGTAACACTGGCAACTGAAAAGCTAAATCTCATCATGTCTGCAGCCTGCTTGAGTTCCCATAAGCCTTCCCCTTAGTTTCCTGCACACAATGCCCCAGGGCCTGTGACCTCCCTTGCTCTTGCCTTGGGGTTCGGCTACTACATACCCTGCCTGGGTGAGCAGCAGGGGAGCTCCCGGGGCCCCCCCCCACACACACACCTCACTGATGCTCACCTGTCCCCACCAATGGCCACGCCTTCGTAGACGCCATCTGTGGTCCGAGAGATGATGTTGTTCAGCTCATTGGACATGCCCCCGGAGCGCGACACATAGGCCACACTGCCCGGCCGGTACAGCTTCGAGGCCAGGATGTTGTCCAGCATCCCCCCCGTGTTCCCGATCTTAAAGCATCCAGGTTTGATGCCTCCAACCTGTAGGGGGAGAACCGGCACCAAGCTTGGGAGGATGCAAAGGGGCAGTTGCGGATGGGTACGGGGGAAGCCTGGTACCCTGCTGGCCAGTCTAGAAGAAAATGCCAAGGGAGGCCCTGACTTTCCTCTGGCAGAAGGCCCTCTTCTCTTCCTGCTGCCATCATGGGGAAGGAGGTCGGGCCTGGCCTGCAGCCCAGGGCTCACTGCTGTAGCCCGGCACTCGGAGTGGTCACCTCTGCCCAACACTACCCTGGTCTTAGCACAAAACAAACAAACAAACAAATCTTTTACCTTAGACACATTTCTCATGCGCCAAACTGAAAACAAGAAACTAAAAACATTCCAGATGGGGTCAGAGCAAACAGTATGTGGAGAGGGTGCTTGCCTTGCATGTGGCCTACACAGGTTCAATCCCTGGTACTCTATTACGGTCCCCTAAGTCCTGAGCAACAGAGCCAGTCCTGAAAACTGCCAGGTGCGACCCCAAAACAAAACAAAAATATTTTGAGAAATTTCTTCTGTGAAGACCCCTGGAACAAAAAAAAAAAAAAAAGGACCAGAGCGATAATATAGTGAGGAAAGCATCTGCCTTGCATGCGGCCAACCTGGGTTCGAACCCCAGCATCTCATGTGCTCCCCTGAGCACCACTAGGAGTAGTTCCTGAGTTGACCAAGAGTTGACCCCTAAGCACGGCCAAGTGTGGCTCAAACACACACACAAAAAAATTTTTTTTTAATTTTTAAAAAATTTTTAAAAATTAAAAAAATTTTTTTTCTAAAGAATGAGAGAGTCTCAGTAGTCTGTCTCTGGTGCAAGGAATAATCAAAGACTGTATGGGGGTGAACAAACACTTCACTCTCTCATTAACCCTTAAAAGCCATAGGGCACCATAAAGACACAAGAAACCAGGAAAAGAGCCCCGGAAAACAACCAGCTGGAAGAGGACAGACACAGCTTCCTGTAGCAGGGGTTCTCAGCAAGCGCTGGACTGTGGCACAGAAGGCTGAAAACCAGCATGGTCAATCTCCCAGCCTACGAGGAAGACAGTGGACTAGGGGTTTCTGCAAGCCCAGTGCTCCACAGGACAGATCTGAACAGAAACGAAAGGCTTTCAGGATGGGACCGAAGAGATGGAGGGGAAAGAGGGGATGGAGGAGAGAGAGGATAAGGAGAAGACAGAGGGGACGCTCACAGTGGCAGGGCCGATGATGGTGACTCCCTTCTGGTCGGCTTTTTTGATCAGTTTCCTGGTGAGGGCTTCAGGGATGCCTTCGGCGATGATGGCAATGGTCCGGATCTAGAGGATGAGCACAGATCCTTCCTAGTACCCCTCTGCGTGGATGAGGCAATGTCGAGCATTCTACTCGACACCCCACCACCTTCGTGCACCTGTCCAGGTTCTAGAGACAAAAAAATGCTACAAGTATGCAGCTCTTCTCCCCACAGACCAATGCTCCCAGTCCAGAGAGATGAACAAGGACACTCAAAATCCATCTCCATGCATGCTGAAAGTAGACTGTAGACCGAACATGATTGCCACTCAATTCCTCTTTTGCAAACTACAGCACCCAAAAGGAGAGAGAGAACAAGGGGGAGTGTCCTGCCACAGAAGCAGGGTGGGATGGAGGGATGGGGGGTGGGAGGGATACTGGGATTAGTGGTGGTGGGCACTGGTGGAGGGATGGGTACTTAATCATTGTAAAACTGAAACCCAAGCACAAAAAATTTGTAAGTCTACAACTGTACCTCATGGTGTTTCACTTAAAAAAAAACAAGAAATCTCCAGGGGCTGGAGCGATAGCACAGTGGGTAGGGCATTTGCCTTGCATGAGGCCAACCTGGGTTCGATTTCCAGCATCCCATATGGTCCCCTGAGCACCACCAGGACTAATTCTTAAGTGCATGAGCCAGAAGTAACCCCTGTGCATCACCGGGTATGACCGAAAAAGAAAACAAAACAGAACCAAAAAAATCTCCATGGGCCTGGAGAGATAGTAAAGTGGGTATGGTGTCTGCCTTACACATAGGTGACCTGGGTTCGATCTCTGGCATCCCATATAGTCCCTAAGTTCCAGGAATAATCCCTGAGTGCAGAACAAAGAGTAACCCCTGAGCAATGCTTCCCCCTCAAAAAACAAAGAACGGAAGGAAATAAAGTAAAGAGCAGTTATATAAAGTGATTCATTCCTTCTGTTTATCCTGAAAAAGCTTTGGCCACTCTGCACTGTTTCTGGGAAATGGAACTTGAGGTATTTATTGCCGTCTTTTTTATTTGTCAGTATTTGTGTGTGTGTTTTGGGGTGGCGGGGGGAGGGGGGAGATTGGGACACACCTATTTCAGGACTTACTCCTGGCTCTGGACTCAGGGATACTCCTGGTAGGGCTTGGGGACCATATGCGGTGCTGGGATCAAACCCGGGGTAGCTGTGTGCAAGGACAGAGCCCTGCCCACTGTACTATCTCTTCCGGCTCTTATTTGTCAGCATTTAAATATTCTCCTATAATATATCTGTAATGATCTTACAATAAGAAACTGATTCCATTTTCAAAGCCAGTCTCAACAGGAAGAGGATGTGGTGGGACTGGACAGCCTGGATAAGCAGCCCTGCAGAGCGTGTCTGATCTCGGTTAAAATACAACCCGCTTGCTGGAGATCAAGTGTCTGGCTTGGGGTTGGAGAGCCAGTCCAGGTTTTAAGGCACTTGCTTGCCGTGCACACCCAATTCTGGTTCATCTCTGGCACTGCACATGGTTCCCCGAGTCCCACCAGGAGTGACCCTGGGTGCAGAGCCAGGAGTAAGTAAGCCCTGAACATCACCAGGTGCGGCCCAAACACCAAACAAACAAAAAAACTATCAAGAGTTTTCAAACACTTTCACCTAAATCACCGACTTGTCTGAGTCCCAAGGGCCCCAGGCCCTTTGTCCCGGGCAGCAGGGCTGGTGACCACTGGGCCCAGGGCCTACCTGGGCGTAGTTCATCGTCTCAATGGTGCTGTCATAGGCAGAACGCAAGGAAGCAAAGTTGATGAGCACGTCCACCTCCGGGTGCTTCTTCATGGCATCTGCCATATTCTTGAAGACGGGGATCAGGATCTCCTTGTGACCCCAGTAGAACTTCTGCTTGTGGTCCCCGCTGTGCGAAAGGCAGAAGAAGGTAAGGACACCCTCCACCAGCCAGGCTGGGGTGGAGGAAGCCGAGATGGGTAGAAAGGTGGGATCTCTTCCCTCCAAAAGCTGCTAGGGCAACAGTATGGCGGGTCAGGCATTTGCCTTCCACGGGGCCAATCCAGATTCAATCCCCGGCATCCCAGAGCCCTACCAGGAGTGATTCCTGGTTGCAGAGACAGTATAAGCCCTGAGCATCGCTGGGTGTGGCCAGAAAACAAACAACAAATAAAAAACAACAAAAAAATGAGTTGCTGGGCTGGAGCGATAGCACAGCAAGTAGGGCGTTTGCCTTGCACGCAGCCGACCCGGGTTCGATTCTCAGCAGTCCATATGGTCCCCTGAGCACCACCAGGAGTAATTCCTGAGTGCATGAGCCAGGAGTAACCCCTGAGCATTGCTGGGTGTGACCCAAAAAGGAAAAAAAAAAAAAGCTGCTAATTAAAGACTAACTCCCACTAGGCTGGGCAGAGGCCTGTGCTGCCAAGGGGAGAATCAAGTTGTCCCCACGGTGCCCCAGTGGTGCAGCAAGCGGAACCCTGGGCCGCCCTGCATAGCTCCCCTAGGGGAGGTGGGGTACTCACGTGAACGGGTAGACCATGGCGGCCACTGAGGGCTCGTCGCGGGAGCAGACGTAGTCGAAGTCCAACATGCCCTGCACGGCCCGTGTCTGCATGCCCCACACGATGGCCTTGGTGTGGCGGCTGAAGAGGGTGGCACTCTTCCCTGGCGGGCAAAGATACAGCGAGTGCACCAGGCACACCGTCTCCCTGCCGACCCTCCACACCCCAAGGCGGGGGATGGGGATGCGGGCGGACTCATCCCAACCACCAAACCAGCATTGGGGGATGCTATTCTGAGAACCTGGGGGAAGTGGCGCCTTGATTTCTGGAAAGAGGTGACAGAGACGACAGTGCCATGGACCCTGCCTGGCTGGTCACTAGACCCGTTCCCTGTCCAGGAAAGATTGATCACCAGCCACCTGCTTATATATCAGGGCTTGAGGGGCCGGAATGACAGTACAGTGGGTGGGGTGCTGGCCTTGCCAAGCCAACCCGGATTCGATCTAATACCCCACAGGGTCAGAAGTGATCCCTGAGCACTGAGCCAGGCGAGACCCCCCCCAAAAAAAAAAGACAAAGCATGGTCTGGGTTACACCCCGGGGGTGCTTGGGGCTTATTATTCCTGGCTCTGTACTCAGGGATCACCCCTGGAGGGGCTTGGAGGATCATGAATGGTTGCTGGGGATGGAACCTGGGTTGGCCACGTGCAAGGTAAGCACCTTACCTGCACCTCTCTCTCCGGCCCAATCCGTTATTTTTAAATATCTTCGTGACTACTTCAAACAAGTCCCCAACAATCCTGCATCCCCTCTAACTGTGGACCCGGAGGAGTCTTGGTTGGCAGAGGACAGAGATGGGGCTGCGGCATTCTGCTCTGAGCTAGTCCTTCCCCCTCCCCACACCAGGGGGCTCATCCTGTGCCCCTGTGCACACCAAGACCCTTGGATGAACTCTGCACTGGGCAGCAGAGGTGAGGGGCAAAAGAGAGAAAAAAAAAACAAAAAACAACATCCCTGAGCCTGCGGGTGTGACCGGCTGGCCCTACAGTCTCCGGCCAGTGTCTCTGGGCAACGGGGCCCTCCAGGGCAGCGCTGGACACCGCCCCCACAGTCCCCTCAGGCAGGAACATCCTGCATGCAGACCCAAGTTCAAGACCCAACCCAGGGCCCACAAGAGAGCCCTCCCCCAGGTCTGGGGCTTCTGTCCCGCAGGCACTGGCCTCGTCCATCCATCACAGCGCACCCGCACCTGTCTGGGGTAAGAAGCCTCCAGGCGTCACAAATAGCTGAGATTTGCTGTCCCTGCCCCAAGCCCGCCCCAGCAGGAACTGATGAGGCCTGAGACACAGAACAGCAAAGCCACCTAATCCCAGGTCCCAGGGGTCAGTTCCCCAGGATAGAGCTGCCGCCCGTCCAGCAGAGCCAGGGCTCAGTGGCCATGGAAGCTGCCACCCGGTCTCAGCCGGGCCCAGAGGAGGCAGGTCAGTGAGGATGGCCGCTCCCTCCCCTGCACCCGCACAGACCCCGCTACACCTCAGGGCTGACAGGGGTCTTTAGGAGAGCAGCGGGGAGGGCAGAGAAAACCCTGGCTCCCCCACAGCCTTTCACTCGGGTCCCCGCACAGGGCTGAGTGGGAACCAGGCCCGAGCCAGAGAGACAGTTCAGAGGCAAGGGCGTTTAATCCCTGGCATCCCATTCCTGAGTGCAGAGCCACAAGCCAGCCCTAAGCATCACTGGGCGGTGGTGATGGGAGGGGCGGGGAGGGGGCCGCAGCACCAGCCCCCACCTCCCTCCAGACACGCAGGACTCACGCTACCTTCCCCACTGCTGTGGCTGCGACCTTCTGGCCCGGGTCACCCCCAGACTGCCCTCCGGGTGGGGCCACCCACAGAGGGTGTTGGGGGACCCTGAGGCTCGGAGCCTCCACTCATAGGGGAGCCAGCACAGAGGCTCCCCATCGGCAGTGACCTCAAGAGCCAAAGCGGGGGTTGTTCCCAGGCCTCTCTCTCCTCCCCCCTCCCTGGAGCCCAGCATCACCCCTCGCCCCCAAAGAATCTAAACTGGCAGGAACTCTGGATAAAGGGGTTGGTGGAGAGGCACAGGGAGCTCCCCTCCTTGCCCACTGAGCTCTCACACCCTCACACCCTCTTCACCTCCCAGCAGGGCCCCCCTAGATGCCCCCAGCCCGCCTCTCCCTGGCAGTGGGCAAGGACTTAACGCCTTCCCGGCGGCCGCCCACAGAGACAGCAAGGGCAGAAAGGGTGTTGAGTGGGGGCCTGAATGAGAGAAGAGACAGGGGACAGGGACGGAAGGGATCCCGGAAGACACTGCGACCCCCCCGGGAGGGGAGAGTAAGCTCAGACGGGGCGGACAGAGCCAGAGGGAAAGGAGGGGGGGCAGCCTACCTTGCAGGGATCTCGGACTTGGGACTGAATCTGTCAAAGAAAATGACCAAGGCAGCTGAATGGCCCAGCTGAATGCAGTGGGGGCCAGTGTTTTTTTTGTGTGTGTGCGTGCGTGTGCGCGTGTGTGCACGTGTGTGTGTGTGTGTGTGTGTGTGTGTGTGTGTGTGTGTGTGGGGGAGAGTGGAAGGGCCTCAGACACAGGCCTCCAGAGCCAAGAGCTGTGACAATCCTCACCATCTTGCATCTATTCCACCCCCACCCCACCGAGGCAGGAGAGATGGAGCCCCAGCAAGCAAGGCCGAGCACCCAGAGACAGAGAGGGACGGGAGGAGCACAGAGCTGGCACATGGCCCGCAGCACAGGGGAGGCCAAAGGTCTCATGCGTGCTCCGTTCCAGCCAGGGTCTCGCAGAACTGACCCAGGTAGTCTGATGGACAGCCAGGAGTGGCACCCATCTTTGGGGGACCCAGAGGCCAGAGAGCTCAAATAGGCCTGTCCCAAAGGCCTGGGAGACGTGTGCTCTGGTGATGGTGGGGGGTGGTCAGAAGGGGCCGTGTTGCACCCCTGCAGGAAGGAGGGTGGTGGGAAAGGGTGGATGGTGAGGAGTGTGGGATCCCCGGTTCCACTATCCTCAGCCCCACAACCGTTCGAACTGCCCACGGCGAGCAGGTGAGGGGACGGTCGGGGAGACCCGGAGTTACCTGCTGGCATGGCGGGCTTGGCCTTTTTAGCAGGTGCCACCTCATCAGCTCTGGATTCAGAAAAAGACGCAGTTCTGCTGGGGGCTGGAGTCTGGGGGCGAAAGGGGAGGGTCAGAGGGAGATGTGGGAAAAAGAGCCCCCGGACACCAAAAGACATAGAGTAACAAGGACACGGAGGGGGCCTCTGCAGGGACTCGAGTGCCTGCCTGACTGGGGCAAACAGGCTGGGGGGGCCCCCACGACTGCCAAGGTGCCCCCTTGCGGACGGATCTCCGATCAGCTTCGAAACGAGAGGTGGCTTGGCAGGAGAACATTTGCTTTGTCCATTTGAGGCCCTGGGTTTGATTCCCAGCAACACAGCAGGTAGGGCATCTGCCTTGTACACGCCAATGGGACGACCAGAATTTGATTCCTCCTCCCGCTCAGAGAGCCCGGCAAGCTACTGAGAGTATCTCGCCCGCAGAGCAAAGCCTGGCAAGCTACCTGTGACGTATTCGATATGCCAAACACAGTAACAACAAGTCTCACTATGTTACTGGGCCCACTCGAGTAAATCGATGAATAACGGGAGGACAGTGCTACAATACTACCACCAAAAAGATAAAGGGGACCAGGAGATGCTTGAAGGGATGTAACATATGCTCTGTGTGTGGGGGGGGGGAAGGAGGGAGGGGGCCTCAACTTGACCCCTACCACATGGCCCCCAGCACATTGAACGCAACCCCCGAGCCCTGTGCAGGAACACTCACCACCCCCTACCCCCGAAAAAGCCACATGGGCCTGAGCAACAGTACAGCAGGCAGGGTGTTGACCTTGCACACAGCTGACCCGGGTTCAACCCCTGGCATCCCATATTGGCCCCCTAAGCCTCGAAGGGAGTGACTGTGATTCTTGAGTGCAGAGCCAGGATAAGTCCTGAGCACTGCTGGGTGTGGCCCCCCAAACAAAACAAAACAAAGCACAAGGGTCTTCCTATTCTACCCCTTTGGCAAAAATAAATAAATAAATAAATAAATCTGCTACGCTGTAACCAAGTACTTCTTTCTCCCTCATTTCCCAGGACCCCCCCTAGAGCTTAGCGATAGAGCACCCGCCCTGCATAGGGTGGGCGAGGGTGGGGTGGGGGCCAGCGCGGCTTGCTTGCACCCACCGACGTGCCCCCGCTGGCATTGAGGAGGAAGTTCGCAGTGTGGGCCGCGGTGGGTGGCTGGTTGGGGATGGGGCGGTGGCCCAGAGCCATGCCCACAATAGCCGTCATGTGTGTCTCGGTGCCAAAGACATGGATGGGGATTCCAGTGGTCTTTCCTGCAAGGGAGAGAAAAACATGCATGATCCATATTGAACTACCCCCCCCAATATCTTTAAAGACATGAAAGGGCCCCAAGGGGAATTCCTGACACTAGGGTTGTGAGCCCAGTAGCCTGACCCTTTGGGATCTCAAAAGTCATGCCAACAAGCAAGTGTGTGCTGCGATCAACCAGGCTGAGGAAGGGGCTCAAAGGGTGGAGCCCGGCCTGAGTGAGGCCTCATGCACGGTCAGTGCTCAGCACAGATGGCCCCTGCCCGTTTCCTGCCAAGCAGGGCCCCAGCACCAAAGCTTCAGGCCCATCAAAAAAGATAAAGAGAGGCCACAGAGGGCCGAGTGTGTACCCACACCCCGAAGCACAGCTGGGCAGGTCCCACAAAAGTTTAAGCATTTAAAAAACAAGGGCTGGAGCCATAGTGTGGCAGTCGACCCGGGGTTCAATCCCTGGAACTTGGGAGTCTACCAGAGTCAGGAATAAACCCTGAGCACTGTTGGGTATGGCCCAAAACCCAGAAGAAAAAAAAAAAGTTTAAAAGTGAAGTGTGAGGGACTGGAGAGATAGCACAAGGGCGTTTGCCTTGCACGCAGCAGACCCAGATTCAATTCCCAGCATCCCATATGGTCCCCTGAGCACCGCCAGGAGTAACTCCTGAGTGCAGAGCCAGGAGTAACCCCTGTGCATCGCCAGGTATGACCCCCCCAAAAAAAATTTTAAAAAGTGAAGTGTGAACCCCAGGGAGCAGTGCACCCCACAGCCAAGAGTGTGACAGCTGGAGAGCACCAGCAGTGTACAGCCCATGTCACCACGACGTGACCACGGCCACACCCCCCTCCCTATCACCCCAGATGAAAGAAAAGGGGAAACGGACTAATTCAGAAAAAAGAAATGGGGTGCTGACACTCTAGCGGCCACCTGAGCTAATGAAGTTGTCCCTTCCCCCACCCCCGACCCTGTGGCCAGCCCCCCACTCTCCCCGCTACTTCTCCCTGGCCTAGCCACTTCCCTCTGGCTCTGGCCCTGACCCTCCACCACCTCCTCCCAGGCTGTCTCTGCTCCCTGATCACCCCCCTGTTGGGCCATGAGGCGATGCATAGGCCCGTATCATATCCCCCACTCCCATGCCATGGGCAACACTGTGGGGCGGGATCAGATCTAGAAAAACATGGGAAGATGAGGATGACAATGAGGCTTGGTGGGCACTCGTGCGGGGTGCCCCTCCCCCAGATACTCGCTCCACACAGAGCAGACCGCAGCTATTAAGTCACAGGGTTCACGCTTCGGGTTCAAGCTGGGCAAGCTGGGAGACCCCAGATCAAAAGATAGGGGCTCTGACTTCTCCTAAAAGAGGAGTTTAAAGTCTTCTGAGAGGGGCCGGAGCAATAGCACAGCAGGTAGGGCGTTTGCCTTGCATGCGGCCGACCTGGGTTTGATCCCCAGCATCCCATATGGTCCCCCAAGCACCATCAAGAGTAATTCCTGAGTGCAGAGCCAGGAATAACCCCTAAGCATCGCTGGGTGTGACCCAAAATGCAAAATAAATAAATAAATAAATAAAGTTTTGAGAGGGCCAGGCTGACAGTACAGTGGGAAAGGTGTAAGCCTTCCATCTGCCCAGATTCCCAGCACCCCATCTGGTCCCCTGAGCACTGCCAGGAGTCATTCCTACATGCAGAGGCAGGAGTAAACCCTGAGCATCACTGAGTGTGACCCCAAAACAAAATAAATTAAGTCTTGTGAGCCGGCCCGAGATGCTCAAAACCCCAGAGGAAAACAGGGGCCAGAGCTATTCTTTTGTGCAGAACCAGGAGTGACCCCAGAGCATCACCGAGTATGGCCCGAAAAGCCAAAAAAGACAGAGACAGGGAGAGAGAGAGAGAAAGAGAGAGAGAGAGAGCGAGAGAGCGAGCGCAGCACAATTGCTACAACTCTCGTCACCTCCCTGGGCTCAGTGAAAGGACCTCCTCACCTGTCCTCTCATTCCGCTGCACCCATCTCACCCACGGCCCAGCCCTGACTATGGTCATCCACCAACACTGTCCTGGGCAACCTCCTCTGTGGGCCCACTGGCCACCCTTGGGTCTTTCCTCCCGAACCCCATTTCTACCTCTGTCCCTGACTGCTATCACCTGCCCCTGACTTTCGGCAAATGTGACCCAGGGTCCTACTCCCGGGGCCCATGCCACCCCGTCTACTCTGGTGGCCTCTTAGCATCCTGCCCCAGCCCCCACCCAACCCCATGCCTGCAACCTAGTCCCCCACTCTCAGGCCCACTTCTAAAGACAGCAGCCCTGAGCTGCCCTTTTACCCTGCTGGGCTTTGCCCACATGACCTGGGTTCAGGGGAGCTTGCTTTGTGCACCCCAGACAGGACTGTGCTCCCCCACTTTCACCATCCGTCCTTCAAAGTCCTGAGTGCCACCTAGCCTTAGAGCCCACACGGTGGTGTCCCCACACGGAGTACAGCACACCACATGTGACGTGGGAGCCAGGATGCTTTCCTGTCCATCCTGAGGCACAGAACTACAAGGACGGAAGAGGGCAAAGCAGACCCAGAAATTCAGCAGGGGTCTGGGATGGGGGGGGGGAATCCCCCAACTTACCCACTTCTCCCATCACCCGCAAGCCCTCCTGATAGTTGGGGCCACCTCGTCGGACGAAGATGGTGACCTCATGCTCCTTCAGGGGACCCTGGTAATCTCGGATGGCTCTCACGATGCCCTGGAGGCACAGAGAGAACAGAGCCTGAGACGGAGCCTGACCCAGCCACAGGCATCCGTCACAGCTCAACGCCTGCTTCCTGCAATGCGTGGCCCCCGCCGGTCGGGACTCCCATACAGGGAACCACCGGCCACGTGCTGTGCTCCAGAGAGGACTGTGGGCACGGGGAACTGGCCCTCCCTGCCCCTGTTACAGTCGAGCCCTGTTAGGCAGCCTTGGCGGGTTAGTGGAATCCACGCCAGGGGCCTCTGCAATGCTGACTCTCTATTGTTTTAGGTCATGCTCAGCAATCCCTGGCTCTGTGCTCAGGGATCACTCCAGGCAGTGCTCAGAGAACCATATGGGGCTGAACCGGGTGAACTGCATGCAAGGCCAGAGCCCTCCCTGCTGTACTATCGCTCCGGCCCCTCAAGAGTCTATTTAAACACCTGTGTTCCATGACAGCTCCTTCTAGACCTTATGATATGAGCCAGGTGTGGAACGGGGAGTAGGGGCTGGGGGGGCATCTCAGTCTGACCTTGTGGCAGACTAGAGACACTGTGCTTAGCACTTTTTCCATGGGGAGCTCGGAAGCTCGTGCCAGGCCGCCCAGCGACAGAACCGGTTTCAGCCTGTGTGTGATCTAGCAGGTCCACATAGGGCCACCCCGTCTGAGGCAGGACTGGTCCCCCACTTCCACGGAACCTGGACTGCCAGGGCTGACATTTGTCAACTATGCTCAGAGCTCATGGAACCGCCAGGTGGGCGTGATTAGCCCACCACGTGGATGTGATTAGCATCCACGGGGGGCCTCTGTGGGGACTTCCTGACCATAACAGGTGACTGAGAGTGGGGCCTGCTCTCTATGCCCATGCAGGCCCATCCTGGGCACGGAGGGACCAGAAGGGGCCTCAGATCATCGACATCATGTGTTCAGAGTTAGAGGGAGGCCGAGGGGCTAGAGCGCAGGCTGATCCCCAGCACCACACAGTCCCCTGAGCAATACCAGGATGACCCTCTGAACACATGAGCACAGAGTCTGGAATAGCCCTTGAGCACCACCAGGAGTGGAGAAAGGAGGGAAAGAGGAAGAAAGGAAGGAAAGAAAGGAGGGAAGGGATGAGAGAGGAAGGAAGGGACGTGGTAGGTGGAAAGGAAGAGGAAATGGGAAAGGAAGGAGGAAGGAGGAAGGGAAAAGACAGACAGGGAGGGAAGGGCCGGGAAAAGAGTAGAGAGGGGACGGGGAAGAGTAAGTAGGGGAAGGGGGTGCTGGAGCGATAGCACAGTGGGTAGAGCGTTTGCCTTGCACGCGGCCGACCTGGGTTCGATTCCCAGCATCCCATATGGTTCCCTGAGCACCGCTGGGAGTAATTACTGAGTGCAGAGCCAGGAGTAACCCCTGTACATTGCCGGGTATGACCCAAAAAAGCAAAAAAATAAGAGGGGAGAAAGGAAGAAGGGGAAAGGAGGGGTGACGGGAGGGAGGAACAGACGGACACTATCTTCCTTGTGATGTGGGTGAGGACTGAGGACTGAGACAGAGACTCTGGGTGCAGAGACCCGTGGATCCTCAGGGGAGTGTCAGCGGCTCAGTTCCACGCTCGAGGCAAGAAGGCAGAAACCCACCTTCTCCCCACGCCCAACCCCAAGGGAGCAGCAGGCCAGCCAGGGCAGCGCTTGCCCAGAGCTGCAGCGTTGCCTCCCACATTCCAGCCCTGGACATGAGCTCCCACCAGGCCCGCGGGGGTCTGTTGCTGCCTCCGGCCTGGCCTGCGGGGACCTCCGTCCCCCACTGCCCCGAACCCAGGTGCCCGCAAACTGCTCGTCCTCGGCAGCCAGTTACCTTGAATGTGGCGGCCACGTTGGTGAAGTTGGCGATGCTGCCCCCAATGATGAGGATCTTGCCTGGGTTTGGAGCAGGGAGAGAGAGGTCAGAGAGGGTGGTCCTGAGCAGTTAGTTCCCCGGGGTGCCTGCTCAGAGTCCCCCAGCTGGGAGGAGATAACAGTGTAAGGGGAAGGGGCTGGACACGGGGTGTCCGCCAACTTCAGCGGCTCGACGCTGCCTCGCCTATTTGGGGAGCAGGTGCTTCCCCAAATCCCCAGCAGAGCCTCAGGCCAGCCGCTAGGATTCATGTCCTCTTGGGGCCTGGGGGAGGGGCTCCCCACCATACGTTGTGCAGGGAGGTGGGGAAATGGGGCTGTGCAGGTCGGCTGCCCAATGCAGGGTGCACAGAGTGCTCACAGCTCCCTTAGTGGCCGCACCCCTGCACCCCCTGGGCCCCCTGCAACCTGGACTTTGCATCCTCTGCCTCCCCAGACTCTCACTGCCCCGACCCAGCAGCTGACGGACAGGGCTGGGGGGTAGAGGTCCTGGTTGGCTGGCCTGCCAGAGGCCCCCACGGCTGCCTCACCATCTGGGTGCTTCTCGCGGGTCATGAGGGAGAGGATGGTCTTGGCATAGTCGTAGGTCTGCTGCTCGCTGGGGGCGCCCGAGTACTCCCCGTAGTTTGCCAGTTCGTTGACCCCACCCAGGTCACAGATGGTATCACTGCCAGGGAGAGGGGAAGTGGGTGTGAGGGCTGACACCAGGGCGGCTGGTGTTGGGGAACCACCCAGAGGCCCCCGCAGCCTCGAGGAGGGCACAGGGGAACCAAGCTCTCAGCACCCAAGTCCCCAAGCCCCACTTGATGGATAACTGTCCCCTCTCAGACTCTCGTGGGTGGTGTGCTCGCCAATCTCAGGGTGCCAGAGTGGAGGGTCACAGGGACACAAAGAAACTTGGGGTGCCGGGGAGAGACCCACATTTCAGGGTCTCTGCCTGGCTGCCTGAGAGAGTAGGACTCATGAAAGGCCAGGGGGAGAGTCTTGGCAAATGGACTGTGGTGGGGGGAGGGGGGGTCTGGAGACAGGCAGAGCTCTGCGTGCTGTGAGAGGCCACCGACTATAGCCAAGGACCACGGGTATAGAATAGGACCCTAAGGGCTCTAAGAAGCATAAAGGTAAAGGTAAAGGTAAAGGTAAAGGCCCTCCCGTTGATTGTCGATTTGCTCGAGCGGGCCCAGTAACGTCTCCATTGGAGACTTTGTTGTTACTGTGTCTGGCATATCGAATACTCTCGGTAGCTTGCCGGGCTCTCCGAGAGGGGCAGAGGAATCGAACTCGGGTCGGCCATGTTGGCCACTTGTAAGGCGAACGCCCTACCCGCTGTGCTATCGCTCCAGCCCATAAAAAGGTAACAATATAGGCACTAAGGGCCAGAGAGATGGTGTGGAGTTAAGGCGTTGGTCTTGTATGCGACCCACATAGGTTCAATTCCCAGAATTGCATATGGTCCCGAAGTCTTGCCAGTACTGATCCCTGGACAATAAGCCAGGAGTAAGCCTTGAGCACTGCCAAATATGATCCCTACACAAAAACCCTCCTCCAAAAAAGGGCACCAAACGGCCTGGAAGGACGCTCAGCACCGCAGTGAGCTGGAGGATGGCGAGGGGGAAGACATGAACGGACACTGTCTGCTTCTGTCTCGGGGTACTTTTCCATGGAACACGTCTGATGATAAGACTTAAAACTGGGGTCAGGGCGATAGTGTAGCGGGGAGGGCGCTTGTCGTGCACACAGCTGAGCTGGGTTCAATCCCCGGCATCCCATATGGCCACCTGAGCACTGCCAGAAGTCATTACTGAGTGCAGAGCCAGGAGTAACCCCTGAGCATCAGGTGTGACCCAAAACCCAAAACAAACAAACAAAACAAAAGCCCAGGACACTATGTAGGGCAGGACCTCCCCAGAGCCCCTCCTTGGCGATTCCCAGGAGTCCCTATTCTGCCCCAGAAGAGAAACTGGAGACCCCAGAAGCAGTTTGATCCAGACCAGGGGTATGCCACTGCCCCCTCCACCACCAACCCAGTCACCTGTACACGACAGAGGCACCACCCCCAGCCACCATGGTCCAAATTCTTCCCTTGGGGTTCAGCAAGGTCAGCTTCAGGCTCGCCCCACTTTTGGCATCCAGGTCTGCAATGTAGGCCTCCTACGAACAGAGCACGGCAGGTGAGCCCGGGCCGCCCCCCCTTCCTCTGGCCCCAGGTACCCTAATGGGGTGCAGGAGGAGGGGCTTGGACAAAACACACCAGTGTCTCTGAGCACCAAAACCACCCAGGGCCGCACTGGCTGCCTGGGGACAGAAAAAAGCCCATGCCTTCTTCTCCACCTTCCAGTCCCTAGCCCTGCGTCCGATTCCCAAGCCCCACAATGCCGTTCTGCTGTGTCACTGTTCCTACCAAGACCCCCACAGCCAGCCTCTGCCCGCTGAGCTCATCACAGGCTGCTCCCCGCCCCCCTGCTTCTTCCCTGGGCCCCGGTGACGTCACCCCAGGTCGGAGCCCGCTGGGCGAACCTCCCTCTCAGAGCCTGGGGTGGGAAGGAGCAATTAAAATTCTCAGCGAGTGGCCCAAAGAGCTACCTTCCCAACAGGATTAGGGGGAGCCACTAGGAATTATCGAGAAGCAACAAATCAAGTTGAAAGCCCAGGGTGGCTGATTGAGAGAGAGGGCTAAAAGGGTTTCTGGCAGGGGTTCAGAAGGCTGGCGGGCTCCCACTCCCCACCCGCCTTGGGGTTTTAAGAAAATTAAATGGTTCTCGGCCTTCCTCTCCCTGCCAAATCAATAAGCAGCAGGTGGGCCCCGCTCCCCACACCCCCACCTTTCTCCGCCTCCCCCCGAAACCAGCCTCACCTCTGGATAAGCCTCCCGCCCGAACGGGGGAGGGAACTCGATGTCTCCCCACTTCACTTTGCAGATATAGTCGGCTGTGGCGTCCACCTTGGCTGCCAAGTCAAGGACGTAGACTCCATCTTTGGTGACCACTAGGAGAGAGGCAAGGAGGGACAATGAGACGGTGACCCCAGACAGAGACCACCCACTTCCAAGCCCCTCGGTCACTGCCCCCACACCACTCCCCTGGGTCCGGCCCCTCCCAGGCCTGAACAACTCCCCAGCAGGACAAGAAACCAAAAAGGTCTTCTTCAAAGAGACATAAATTCCCTCCCTTCCCCTTCCTGCCATCAAAGCAAGCACTGAGCATTCCCTCCCCGACCTACAGGTAATGGGACGTGTTTTAATGCCAGTGCAACTTTTTTTTGGCAGGGGGGAGTGTTTAAGGGGGAGGGGGTAAGGGGCCATATCCAGTAGTGCTCAGGGCTTACTCCTCGCTCTGTGCTCAGGGTGACACCTGGCAGTGAATGCTACAGGGAACCATGGGTGGGACCTGGGATTGCACCCTAGTCGCCTGCATGTAAAGCAAATGCCTGAACCCCTGCACGCTCTCTCTCTCTCTCTCCAGTCCTACTGCAATTTTTTTTTTTTTTTTTTTTTTTTTACTTTTTAGCAGCACTGGAGGTTGAACCCAGGCTCATGTATGTCAGCCGAGCCTTATCTCTAGTCTCTCTGATGTAATTTTTAAACATTCTGACAAAATGCTCCAGGTAGTACATTAGTTAACTGTTCATCCCTCCACCACGGCTTTGCCACTAGCAACAGTGTTTAAGGTGCAGGCTGCTGTGTGAGGCCCCGAGGTGCGCCCACCTGCTTTTCCTGGGGTCTGGAGCACAGGGCTGTCTCTGGGGAGAGGAAGCGGAAGCCACAGGGTGCACTGGGCTCCCGGCCAGCAGGGCTCATTTGCCGCACCTCGCTGGACATCCGTCTTCCCTTTCTCAGGGCCATTTAGCTAATTAAGTTAGCACACGGCCATCTGGTCCATTAGAGCAGCTGCGTCCCCAGCTGGAATCTGGAACCAGGACTTTGCCCTGAGAAGCCCCGGGCAGAGCCAGCCCCCACCACCTGCCTCCTTCATCGCCTGGGAGCTTGGACCCCGGTCCTCCATGCTATGGGAAGTCAATGATTGACCAGCTCTGGGCAGGGAGAATGGGGGGTGCGGGAGGCAGCACCGGCACACGGAGAGGGGCGTGGACCAGAGCAGACGCAGATGCCTACCGGGTCCACCAGCAGGAACAATTCCAGAGTCCCCTGGCTCAAATCAGGACTACCTCCCCCCCCAACACAGGACAAATAAAGAACAAGGAATGCAGAGCTGATTCCAAAGAGGGATACTCGCTGACCTTACCCTAAGAACTCCCCAACAGGACCCCCCCCTCACGTGCACAGACTGCCCTCCGCTCATCAAAGCCTGCACTCCTATGGGCACTGGGACCCCAGCAGAACCGACCCGTGCCCCACCCTGACAGGGGCCATTACCAAGAGGGTTGATCTCGAGGTAGGTGAAGTACAGATCCTCATAGAAGTTGAAGAGGCCAGAGATGAAACTGGCCAGGATTCTAGAGCAGGGAGAGAGGGACAGGCCATCCATCAGGAAGAGGGCTCCCGCCGGCTCTCCCCGCCTGACGGCTGCCCCGTGCCCGGCCCTGCTGACCCCACCGCCCGGCAAATTCCACTCCCTGCCCATCACTGTCAGCCATCAGGGTGGAACGGAGTTGTCAGGCGGGAGAGGGTGGCAGTGCAGACAGACAGGGGCAGAGAGGTGAGGGATGCTGGCGGGGAGGCTGGCAGCGGGTGGGCGGTGGTGGCGCCAGCATCTCCCCCCTGCACAGACGCACAGGGCCCACCGGGCCGACTGCCTTGCCCTCTGTCTGTCCACCCAGATGTGGGAGGGGGAGAGGGTGCCAGGGAGGGCAAACCGCTGGGCTTTTCCTGTGACGTCCCCCCTCCCTGCCCTCCCGCTCACTCAACTCTTTCTTGTCTGCGGGGGCATGGACCAACAGGTGCTTCTTGATGGCCTCGACACTCAGCTTCTCGTCCACGCCAACCAGCAGCTTCTGGGCTTTGGCATCCACGTCGCCCACGTCCACGCCACCCTCATGGTGGAAGAGGACATAGTCCCCCTCCCGGGTGGCATAGATGCAAACGTAGAACTCCTCTGCCTGGCACGGGAAGAGGATGCCACACGGTGAGGAGCATGGGACTGGGGCCTGAGGTTGCCCCGGGCCTGGCGTCGCTTCTACAACCCAGGAGGAAAGCAGTCCAGAGGGCGGGCGGGACCACAGAAGAGATGGCAACCCCCGCCTGGACAGCCGAGAGTTCGGACTTGACAACGACCTGATCTGAGCCAAATCCCGCTCCTCCCTGAAGCCCGCCAGTTACCCAAACCCCACGTCCCGGGCTCCCGCACCGGGGACCCCCACTGCCCCGGCACAGCTCGAGACGGGGCTCCCTCTGCCTGCTCTCCATCCGTCGGCTTTGCTTTCTCCTTTTGGTCACTTGGAGGGTGTCAAAAGCGGAGCAGCTGGGGCCCCCTCACATACCTGACTATGGGGGACGAAAGGTTCGATCAGGAAGTTCTTGAGGAAGCCTCTGGCCTTGCCAACCTACGGACAGACAGATGGAAGGAAATCCAGTCTGGCGGGTAGCACATCCTACTCCCCAGGGCCAAAGGCAGGAGGCCTCTGCCACACCCCCCCCCCCACTCCACAGGGGTAGGGGGCAGCACCCACTACTCTGCACCAGCCAGCAGAGATTATTCCCGAAGCCAAGGCAAAGGGGCCCCAGAGCCCTGAGCTAAAGAGGTCACGAGGTCCCGCCAGCACCCGCTGTCCCTCACCAGGTGCACTTCATTTGCCTGCCTCGGAGGGGAAGAAATGAACTGCTGCACTGCCCCACTCAAAAAGCACAGAGATGGGGTGTCAGTGCCCCCCACTTTCCGCTGTTACCCCAAAGAGCTGAGACAAAGGGAGGCCCGACGGGGCACAGGGAGGGAGACCCAGCCCAGGGCCCAGAGTCCAGGCAGAGAAAGGGAGAGGGGGAGGGTGGGGGTGGGGGGAGCAGCCGCATCACGGGCATACTTGGCCACTGACTTCCTGGCTGAGGACAAGAGGCCTGCGGAGCTAATCAGCGTGAGTGGGTCCCTGGCGACAGCCGAGGCGAGACAGACCTCAGCACGTCATCGCTGAGTCAGGGACCAGACAGCGATCCATCAGAGGTAATGAGCCGCTCCCGCCACCCCAGACGCCCCGACATCCCCCACCCCCTTGGCTGGCTGAGCAGAAGGGAACAGGGGGACCTCTCTGGACATGCTGTGCAGCGGCCAGTCCGCTGCCCTCACCCCAAAGCCTGGACGCGCCAAGGTCAAGATCCCTCTGTCCCCCCGCAGCACATGTGCAAAGTCTGGGGCCATATTTTGCCCCTGGGAGAGGACCGCACAGCACTGACTAGACAGCCCACCCTCTCCTGCCTACTTACAGGGCGGTCAAGAGAGAGAACAGCATCCCCGACCCCCTGCTAACACATGCCCAGGCCCACGGGCACCCCAGAGGAGACATATCCAGGGATGGACAGCACATCCTGCCTCTTCCTAGCCAGGCTCTGCCTGCTCCCTCCCTTTGGGAGTGAGGAGAAATGCAGTTTATTTCTGACGTCTCCGGCTTCCCTAAACCATTCTTCACGTCAGCTCTCTCATCTACAGGGCTGGAATTAATCACCAGGCCAGGCGAGGCCAAGAATTGAATTTACTCTGCAGTCGGAAGCCTGGGGATCAGGCCAGCAGGCTCTCCCTGAGTCTCCAGCTCCTTTTTGCTTTTCTGCGGTTCGGGGGCCCGCACCCAGGACTTATTCTTGGCTTTGTACTTAGGGTCATTCCCGGCGGTGCTCAGGGGATTACATGGGGTGACGGGGATAGAAGTGCGGTTGGCTGAGTGCAAGGCTAGTGCCCTCCCTGCTGTACTGTCTCTCTGGCCCCTCTCTCTCCTTTGCCTCTTCTGCCGACCTCGTAAGTGGCTCATGTCATGATAAACCACCATGTCCTTTTCAGAGCTGGGAGAAAAGAAGGGCCAGAGAGGACCAGCGCTACGGTACAGCAGGTAGGGCCTCACACACGGCCAATCCAAGTTCGATCCCCGGTACTCCATATGGTCCCCTGAGCCAGCGCAGTCAGGTGTAAGCCCTGAGCATCACCATGTGTTGCCCACCATCCAAAAAGAAGAACAGGGAGCGGTAGCGATAGCACAGCTGGTAGGGCGTTTTCCTTGCATGAGGCTGATCCAGGTTTGATTCTCAGCATCCCATATGGTCTCCTGAGCACCATCAGGGGTAATTCCTGAGTGCAGAACCAGGAGTAACCCCTGTGCATTGCCAGGTGTAACCCAAAAAGAAAAAAAAAAAAAAGAAGAAGAACAGGCCCAGAGTTCCCTCTAAATTATCACTCAGAGGCAGACCAGACCACGCCTCCGCCACCTCCTACTGCTCTGCTGCTCTGGGGGTGACTTTTGCAGCATATGTGACCATGCCCCGAGGGACAGGAGTAAGAGCAAGGCTGGCTCTGCCCCATGTCAGCTTAGCAGGATGGCCATCTGATCGTAGTGCCTGGTCTCAAGGCCACCGGGCTGGCATCTGCCACCCTCCACCTCACCCCATTCCCAGAACTCACTGTGGCCTCCTTGCCCAGCCGTGGCTTCAGCCAGGTCTTAACACCATCCAGGGAGAGGTTGACCCCAACGAGGCCCAGCTTCCCACGCCGTTTGATCAACTGGTCCGGCTTGACCACCAAGCTCTGCGAGGAGAGGGGTTCGTGTTCAGAGCACAAAGGGGCTGAGTAAGTGATGAAAGGCTGGGGACCTAAACCCTTCCAGCCTGCCCTATAACCACCATCCAGAAGTGTCCCTCACCGATGAACCTAGCTAGAGAAGGTGCTCACCGATTACCCGCTGAGTAAATATGGGATTCCCCACCCTCCCTCCGTGGTGGCTCGGCTTCTTGTATCAGTGAATTCCCGTGAGAAGACCAGCATCCATGTTTCAAAAGGAAGAAGAGAAATACCCAGGGGCTGTCACCTTGCTCAGCTGACCCCTGGGCTTGAATCTCGTCTTTCAGCCCCAGCCACTGTTCACACAAGAAGAGCACGCGGCTGGGCTGCCTCACGAGGGAAGGAAACAGACATTCCTCAGTCCTGTTCTCCAGGCCCTGGAAGCCTCCCGAGGCCTCCCAAGTTCTTCCCAATGATGAGCCTGGTGGGACTGAGGAGAGGCAGGGAGGCCCCAGCAGTCCACACGCACCTACAAGCAATGCCCCGGGGCCAGGTGGCAGTCTGCGCTGCTCCGCTAATCCCACCTCACAGGGTGAAATGTCATATCCAACCCGGACCCAGGCAGAATGACCTATCCCCGACCACATGCTGGCAAATAGCCTCCACTTGGTCCAGCTCCAAGACCAAACCAGCCCCAGCTAAAGCACCTCCACACGCAGGGAGGGCCCAGAGCTAACCCCAAACTCCTCCTCCAACCATTGGGACATCGCCACCCAGTGCAGGCCTGGGGCCCAGGTGGGGGCTGGACTCACCTGGCTGAGCAGCCAAGGGTGGTCCTGCAGCAGGTGGGCCCAGTCTGTGTCGGGGGTGACACGGGCATACTTGAACCGGTTCTGGATGGCCGAGGTGGTGCAGATGTACTTGTAAAGGAGCTCTTTGCCCGTCTGCTCTGAAATTGCCTTGGCCGACATGGCTGCCGGGGGACGTGCTCTGCCTGGTGGGGTACAGGAACCGTCAGGGGGAGCCAGGGGAAGATGCTCCTGTCCAGAGGGGCGAGGGGCCTCTGCGTCCTCCAGCAGAGGAGGAGGGTGTGAAGATGGTAGAGAGGAACAAAAGGGGCATTTTCCTGGGGCCTCCTGGCCTTGAACCTTCTCCTCCAGGCAGACCTGGCTCAGCAGACCCACAATGACCCGGGGGCCGGAAACCTAGTGGTCACTGCAGCCTGAGGCAGGCACACTGCTCCCTGAAACCCCACTACCGCCTGCAGAAGCACCGCTGGGAGGGAGCAGTGGTGGCAGGGCCCACACTCGTCATACAATCACATGCACACACTTACACAAACGCACACCCACGAACACACGCGTCTTCAAAGACCAGGCCAGTGTTGACGTGGCCTTGGGTAGGTTCAAGTCCCCTCCCGACAGAGGGAAAGTGGGGATGCCAAGCTCATTCTTCTCAGTTCGGGTTCCCAGCAGACGCAGGGCGGGGCGAGTGACCTTCTGTGCATCCCACCCTCCCTGCTGAGTCACCCTGCTGCAAATTTAGAGCAAAACAGAGGCCTCTAGGGGGACCACCCTGTGCTGGTCATTCCTTACTGAAGCTGTGGAAGGCAGGACACATGTCCTCTCTTAATCTGGTCATAAGTGCACAGAAACTCAACCTAGGTGACTTCTGTGAGGCCCGGGGAGACTCCAAACCCCCCTTTTCAGAGCAGGGAGGGCAGCTCAGAAGGGGTGACAATAATGGAACCGAGAGGCCTATATCGTAAGCAGGGAACCCACAGTGGAAACCAAAACTCTTCATCCTGGGTCTCCAGAAAACCCCATGGCAGCCTGAAAGAAAAATGCCGTTCCTGGGGGTCGGAGGGATAGTACAGCGGGTACGGCGTTTGCCTTGCACACGGCCCACCTGGTTCCATCCCCGCCATCACACCTGGTCCCCCGAGCACCAGGAGTGATTGTTGAGTGCAGAGCCAGGAGGAAGCCCTGAGCAACATGGGGTGAGGCCCAAAAACCAAAAACCAAAACAACAAACAAGCCCCTTCCTTCCCGCAGGGACTGAAACAGGCCCTGTGCGCCCCTTCCTCAGGGAAGGGTCTGTCAGAACTGCTCCGTCTCCCTGTGCAGGCCAGGTCCTGACATGTCCGGGCTCCCAGGGGCAGTGACGGGAGCCAGCTGGGAGAAGACGAGGGGGGTGTGCAGGGAGGCAAAAGCTAAAGGTTAAGCAGAGGGGCCAGAGACACAGTACAACGGGGAAGGTCCTTGTTTTGCACATAGCCCACCTGGGTTCAACCTCTGGCACCCCATATGGTCCTCTGAACCTCACAGGGAATCACCCCTGGTTACAGAGCCAGAAGTAAGCCCTAAGCACCATCAGGTGTGGCCCCACCCCCCCTAAAAAAAAAAACAAAAACCAAAAAGAATTCGGCCAGATCAGGAAGAGCTCCTGATCCACTCTGCCTTGCAGGGACCCAGAAGGCCAAATGCTGAAACGGCTGGGGAGAGGTGTCAGATGCAAATAAAGGTGGGCAGGGTAGGGAGGTGGCATGTCGTGGGCAGGAAGGCGGCTCGTGGGCCGAAGTTCCAGGGCTCACACCTCCCTCTCAGCTGGTCAGGCTGGGACTTCAGGTTCTGGCTTGGCCTGCTCCCGCTGCGCCCGGCGAGTGTCCGGCTCAGCACAATGGGCGCATTCAGCCTGGAACCTGGGAAGGGGCTCAAGAGATGTCCCCTTCTCTGGCCTTTCCCTGGGATGGCTTCCGGCTCTGTGTCAACACAGAGCGTACGAAGGAGGGCACCTCCAGCTGTCCCACTGGCCCACGGCCCTCCCCACCACCCTCCCCCCACCCACTCCAGGCTCCATTTCTCAACCTCCTTGACTCAGACCTGAAAAACTGGTCCTGAAATCAGATGGGTACCGCTCCCCCCATTCCCCTCCCAAACAGTACAGCCCAGGGCAGATCATGCTGAGAAAGGAGGGGGCAGTTTGTCCACCCTGAAGAGTTCTGACAGAGCAAGCACCAGCGATCACAAAGTCCGTGGAGAGGGCCATCTTGCCCGACCAGCAGAGAGAAGGCCCGTACACACTTCCAGAATAATTCCCCAATCAGACCAGAATCCCACTCTAGAAAGGACCTGGGGCCATCTGCAGCTGGGGGAAAATAAATAAATAAATCACCTCATTTCAGCTCCAAGAGGTCCTGCTCCCAGGGATACGGAACAGGCTGGGGGAGCAGCCGACAGGGAGCAGGGGCAGGGCAGGGAACTGGCGACCAGAGCCCCCTGGCTTAGATGAGGCAGGTTCTTCCAAGCGCCAGGAAGAGGTAGGAGGGCAAAGAACCATATTCTCCAGTGCAGGCTAAGGAAACTGAAAATCAGGGAGGAGCGTGAGTGCCAATTCAGGGCAAGTTATGGTGCTTACTGTAAAGGTGACTGGTTCGATCTCCTGCACCACAGATGGTCCTCCGAGCACTGAGCAGGAGTAACCCTGAGTGATGCTGAGTGTAGCCCATGCCCCAGCTCCACACATCCAAAGAAAACCAGGGAGATTACAGGGATGAGGATAGGGGTGGGGGAGCCCCCACTGATTCAAAAGCTCATTGGTCTAGAGCCTCTGCAGAGGGCACTGGTTCTGCTCCTATTTAAGGTCTGACTCTTGTCAGGAGCTGAAGGCCTAAAATAACGTGTACATCATCTGTGAAGGCAGGTTTCAAGCACTAGCCTGTGGTTTGCATCTGGCCCAAGACGACCAGTTAAGAGCATTTGCTCCAGGGGCCGGAAAGACAGTACAGCATGGGGGGCGTTTGCATGGTATGCATACAACCTGGGTTCGATCTTTATCATCACTTACAAACCCTGCCAGACTCCTAAGCACAGACCATGGAGTGGCCCTTGAGCACTGCACCAGGAGTAAGTCCTGAGCATCACTGGGTGTGGCCCCAGAACCAAAATTTTAAAAAGAGCATTGCGGGACTGGAAGGACAGTACAAGGGGTAGGATGCTTCCCTGGCAGGGGTCAACCCCTGGCTCCCCAAGTCCGCCAGGTGTAATCCCTAATCACCAAAGAGTATGGTCCCCAAATAAAATTTTAAAAAAGAGCATTTACGGGTTGCGAAAGATAGTAGGTAAAATGCTTGCCAGGCACATGTGGGAACAGTGGTCAATCCCCAGCTCCCCAAGCCCACCAAGAGTGAACCTTAAGTACCATTCGAGTATAGCGAAAGAAAGAAAGAAAGAAAGAAAGAAAGAAAGAAAGAAAGGACATTTGCGGAGATAGAGTGATAGTACAGCAGGTAGGGCACCTGCCTTGCATGCTATCCACAAGGGTTCGATCCCCGGCATCCCATTGAGCACCACCGGGAATAATTCCTGAATGCAGAGCCAGGAGTAACCCCTGAGCATTGCTGGGTGTGGCTCAAAAACCAATAATAATAATAATAACAATAATACTGCACACCCCCCCTACCCTCACCCCTAAAGTATTAGGCAGCCTGGCAGAAACTGACAGGCTGCTGATAAATGGGTTTAGGGAACAGTGAAGACCACAGGAGCCCACTCTGGGAGACCACTCCACCCCCACCCCCAAAACACACACTGTCACCTAGTAACAACCAAATGTGCAAACCATTTCTGAGGATTCATGCCAAGCAACCTGGAAACACACCACTCTCACCCCATATCCCACGCCCACTCTCTCCTCCCGGGGAGGGGCCATGCAGCCTGAATGAGACCTTTTCTGGGCGCGGGCTGAGTGACCCAGGCCTGAGTTCATCCCCAGCAGCACACAGGGCAGAGGCAGCCCACAGGGAAGGCGGAATGAAAAGAGCCTGTTCCCCAGGACAGTCCCCCTGGGACGCGGGCGGTGGGGAGGAGTCACTGGGGATGCTACTTAGGGTCCCCTCTGGGCAGGGCAAAGAGCACTCACTTTAGGGCTAGCATCTACAGGGTTTGCCTTCGGGAGAGGGCAGCGCGTTCAGGCGCAAAGGGGTAGAATTCGGTAAGAACCGACTTTCTTCGCAGCCAGCTCCGGGTGGGAATGGGGGTGTAGACCAAGCGACAGCGGGAGCTTCTCATTACTGACAAGAGCTCTCCAGGAGGTGAAAATAACCCCTCTGAGCAGCTGGGCCCTAGCACGGATCCCCCCAGTCGCCCGGCGCTTAAGAAATCCCAGGAGAGGAGCTCGCTGCAAGGGAGCAAAGTTAGAGGGTGCGCGCAGGGTGGAACAAACTCCCGCTCTCCGGCGCGCCCCATCTCGCGCCCCCAAATCCCCCGCGCCGGCAGAGGGCTGGAGACCCTCGAACGGCAGGACTATCTGGAACTGCAAAGTTGGAGCGGGCAGGAGGCGCGGGGCTGACCCTCGCGTCGGCTCGGCCCCTGCCGACGGCGGGGCGGGAGGCGGCCAGCCCGGGCCATCTGTCGCTGGGCGGCGGGGCCCGGCCGCACCCCCCGCGCCACGAGGGTCCTTCCCGCGCCGCCCGCGCCGCCGCCGCGCCCCGGCCAGCTCCTCGCCGTGAGGCCAGGCCTCGGGCACCCGGGCCGGCGCCGGCCCCGCGTGGTCGGCGCCGCGCCCGGCTCGCTCGCTCTCTCCGGCGGGGCGCGGGGCTCCGCCGACTCTCGGCAGAACTCGAGGCAAAGGGCCTGCGCGCCCGCTGGGGAAGGGTCCGCGCCGGCCGCCGGGCCACCACGATCTCGACTTCACGCCGCCGGCATCCGGTGGGGCCAAGCCGGATGGGGGCAAGAGCGAGCAGGCTCCAGCCGGAGGAGGCGCGGGCAGCGGCCAGCGAGGGGGTGAGGGGCGCCAGGACCCGGCGAAGCGAAGACAATCGGGCGGAGGGAAGCCAAGCCGAGCGCCGTGCAAACTCCCCGAAACTGAGATGCGGGAGGCTTGGGTGGGTGGGGGGCGGGAGGCCGGCTCGGCACGCGGCCCCCGGCGCGGGATCCCGGGAGAAGGCGAAAACCAAGAAGCCCCAAAACTTCCAGGCAGGTGCAGGGAGGGCGCGTGAGCACCCAGCCGCTTCGGGGAAGGCGGTTCCGGGTTGAAGGAGACCGGCAGGAAGCTCCGCGAGCAGGTGGCGCCCCTGCAGCGAGGGCAGCTGCCCGCCACTCACCTCTCCACGAAAGTCCGAGCGCGGCGCTCCCTCCACAGGCCCTGACTCACCGCCGCCCACAGCCCGGAGCGCTCAAGCCTCTACAGCCGCCCGGGATCCGGCTTTTGTCCCGGCCCCGGCCGCCTTCTCCCCGCCCCCATCGGCACACAGCGCAAGCGGCGCCGCGATTGGGCACACGCGTTCCCTAGCCTGAGCACCAGAGCTCCTCTCGATTGGCTGATCGGGGTAGCCCCGCCTTTAGGGGCGGGGCCCGGGGCGGGGCGGGCCTTCTGGGACTTGTAGTCCTTTCTGCGGCGTCCGTCCCGGGAGGCGGGCAGGCGCCTCCTCTTTAGAGTCTGCGGGGCAGGGGCGGGGAGAGGGCGGGGCCTCGAGTGGGGAGATGGGCCGGGCTACGCGGGGAGGAGAAAGTACCGGGCTGGGGGCCATGGCATGATCGCCTAGGGGCTGGGCCGATCGCCGCTCGGACTTCGGGCGGGGGGCGGGGAGGGGGAGGCGGAGGGGGGCCGGCGGGGGGGACCTGCCTCTTAGCGCGGCTTTCGGGACTTGGAGTCTCCTTCACTTCTCCCAAGAGGGAAAACTGACTTCGCCTTCTGGACGCCTGAAATCGGCCACACCGAACTCGGCGGCTTACACCCGCTTTTCAAGCGGCCGCGGCAGCCTGCGCTCTCTTTTGCCCGCGGACCCTCACCAATGAGCCCGTGGGAAAGGGGCTGAGAGCTGAAGTTGGAGATCAGACCCGGCGTGGGACAGGAGAGGGCAGGAGACCGGGAGGAGCAGGTGGGGCTGGGAGAACAATGCCTCGCGCCCCACTCACCTGCTCACCTGTCCGCCGAATTGGCGGGAGAGTCCAGCCTACAGAACTGAGACCGCCTCTCCTCTCTCCAGCTCACAGCGCCACAACGACCCACCCGGCCTCAAAGCCTCCATACCGGAATGAATGAACCGTTGCCTTCTCCAGGACCAGGATGCCAGACGATTTCTCCAAACCCAAAACTAGGACACCTGGTCTGACAGGGGCCCTTGAACTTGTAGGGCAGAATGTTTGAAATCAGACAGCCCTGGGAGCCAGGATGTATATTTACTGTTCTGACATTCTGGAACTCTCCACCCTTGGCCTGTAGTTCTGTCAGTATATGAGCTATTCCCTGACCAGTCTATGAGCTGTTCTCTGACCCTAACCACAGTCAGCTCCACGCTGGAGGCCAGACATCTATCTGCACCAGGGAATTCAGGAGATACTGTCAGCCCAGGGTGCAGGGAATCCGTGTGCCTCTGCCAAGGTCCCTGCGTCAGACTGCTCTCCGCAATGCGGTGGCCAAGAACTTCTCCACCAAAAGCCATTCTTCCATGCAGTTTTATTTATTTTTATTTATTTTTGTTTGTTGGAGGGCCACACCTGGCAGTGCTCTGTGCTGAGGAACTACTCCTGGTAGTTCTCAGGGGACCATATGGAATACCAGGGATTGAGCTAGGGTTGATCGTGTTCAAAGCAAACACCCTCCCCTCCCCTCTACTATCTCTCCAGCCCTCCACACAATTTCAGACAGGACTGAGTGTACCTATCCTTCTGCCTTTGCCTGAACAAGTGATCCCGAATGATGTCACCTTCTCACCCCTTCTCACGTTCATCTTTGGAAAACTGGTGCTCCTCCCCTCCTCTCTGCTCTGGATCCCAGACTCTTTTGCCCCTCTGTGGGGTTGAGCTCCGCTCCTACTAAGAATCCTTCCAAATGCACACATTTGGGAGATTGGTCAGTTCCCAGTAGGTAAAGAAAACATCACCTGTGAAGATCCTCCCTTTCTGAACTGGGAGAACAGGAGCTTTCTACACTAGCAGGAAGACTGTAGTCAGGAGGTGGTCTCTGCATGCCCAGCAATTGTCCCTCTGGTTTGACAGAAAGATACATTCACCCAGAAGCAAGCATTCAGGTGGAACATGAATCATAACAAACCCTTTGTTTATCAATGTGGCAATAGAAATAAAACAACATTTTTGTATTTGTTTTGGGGCATGCTCAGCAGTGCTCTAGATTTACTCCTGGCTCTGTGCTCAGGGATCACTCCTGGAGGGGTTCAGGGAACCATATGAGGTGCTGGGAATTGAACCCGGAGTGGCTGCATGAAAGGCAAGTGCTTTACCCACTGTACTATCGTTCCAACCTTGATAAAACACGGTTTTTAGGTGCACATGCACTCCATAATTTCGTTTCTATCAACTGGCCTTTATACTTGCACATGTGCATGAAGATAGATTTCCCAGTGTGTTTTCTTTATTCTGTATAGGGCCTAGTGTGGACAATAGCACATGCTCAGTAAATATTTGTCAAGTGATTAAATTCCTGTGTAATATGTTGGTGGGTCCAAATTGGATTTGTCTTGGCCAGAGGCAATTTGGGGAGGGAGAGAGAAAGGTTCTGACCAGAGGGGTCTGTAAGCCAATCACTGAGGTCTTCCCATCCCTCCGTGATAGTGCTCCAAGCCTGGAAGCTCAGTCCAGAGAACCAGGGTCCCCAGGGAAGACTCTCCGTTGTCCACCATGGCCCCACTAAGGATCCTCTGCCCTACATTAAGCCAGCCTTTCTTCTTATTTCCTTTTTCTGATTTGAAAGCGGAAACACCGGGGGGTGGGGAGATGTCTCCTAGAACCCATGCTTTGCATGTAACAGCCTCCTACTGCATATAGCCCAAATACAAAGAAGCAAAGCTCTAAACTTTATCTTCTGTCATTTGAGTCCTCTCTTTTCTAGACTAGAGAACAGGTAGGTCCCTGTCACTGTTTATTTTGATTTATTTATTACTTTTTTTGGTTTTGGAGTTCCACTCAGCAGTGCTCAGGACTTACTCCCAGATCTGTGTTTAGGGATTACTCCTGGAGGGGCTCAGGGAGTCATATGGGATGCCAGGGATTGAACGCAAGTTGGCCATGAGCAAGGCAAGCATATTACCCAATGTAATCACTCCAGCCTTAGGCCCCTTTCATTTAACAAATGGATATAAACCCCATATGCATACTCAGACATTGAGCTTTGTTTCCAAAGGCAAGAATTGTCTGGCCTTATAGGTTTTAATCCTGTGTAGTTTGTGCTCACTAAACCCCTGTCATGTGAAAGGCCTACCCATTGGCACATTCCCCATCATTATCTCGTAGAAGAGTGACCAAGCCTTTGCAGCCAGCTCCTGTATTTTGTCCCTTACAACCTGCTGTAGTGATGAAGAGGGAGTGAAGGTCATAGCCAATGAATCTCTTCCCTTTTTGGGGGGTGGTCAGGGGTGTCAATAACACCTTGTTGAATCAGTCAGGGCTTACTCCTGGCTCTGTGCACTCAGGGATTACTCCTGGCAGTGCTCGAGGGGCTCAGATGAGGTACCAAATATCAAACCCAGGTGAATCACATGAACTCTCTCTGTACTAACTCTCTGGTGCCAAGATCTCTTTCTTTTTAGAAGAAAAAAAATGGGGGCTGGAGCAATAGCACAGCGGGTAGGGCGTTTGCCTTGCACACAGCCAACCCAGGTTCAATTCCCAGCATCCCATATGGTCCCCTGAGCACCACCAAGGGTGATTCCTGAGTGCAGAGCCAGGAGTAACCCCTGTGCATTGCTGGATGTGACCCTAAAAGAAAAAAAATGCCAGGGGGGGGGCGAGGTGAATGGAGGTATAGTACAGTGGGTAGGGTGTTTGCCTTGTACGCGGCCGACCCGGGTTTGATCCCCAGCATCCCATATGATCACCTGAGCACTGCCAGGAGTAATTCCTGAGTGCAAGGCCAGAAGTAGCCCCTGAGTACTGCTGGGTGTGGCTCAAACACCAAATAAAAAAGGATTAATACATAAATTAAAAAGTTACAAAGCAAGAAAATTCTTATCACACACATATAAACTGAAATTAGTTCTTTCATTCAGAATGCAGCTAGTGAACACCTGTAATGTGCTGGGAGCTGTTGTGACCACTGTGGTGAGTAAAACAAGCAAAGTGCCCCCCTGAACCCACCATGGGCCTGTGAGACTCCAGAGGGGAAATAGCACAGGACACTCCCTATGGGATGAAGAAATGTGGTATGTCAGAAAGTGATGTTTTGGAGCACATCAACCGAAGACAGGGGCTATCTTCTCTGAGAGCTTCTTCCTCTAAGTGGGAAAGTGTAACTGAGACTTCCTGAGAGTCACCCACACATCAGAATAAAATAAGACCAGATTGATAGGACTGTTCTCATAAGCTTTGATTTCTCTTGGATAAATTGTTAGGATTAGAATGTCTGGGTCAGGAGCTGGAGTGATAGTACAGCAGGTAGAACATTTGCCTTGCACATGGTCGACCCAGGTTTGATCCTCAGCATCCCATATGCACCCTGAGCACTACCAGGAGTAATTCCTGAGGCAGAGCCAGGAGTAACCCCTGAGCATTTCCAGATATGACCGAAAAAGTAAAAAAATTTAAAAAAGAATGTTTGGGTCAGGGGTCAGAGTAACAGTACAGCGGATAGGGCACTTGCCTTGCATGTGACCAACCCAGCTTTGATCTGCAACCCACATATGGTCCCTTGAGCCTGCCAGGAGAGATTCCTGAATGCAAAGCCAGGAGTAAGCCATGAGCACCACTGAGAGTGGTTCCAAAACAAACAAACAAAAAATAAAATGTCTGGGCCATAGAATACATTTAACTTTTATTTGTATGTTTTGGGCAATGCCAAGTAGTGCAGGGTGTTACTCCCAGCTCTGTGCTTGGGGCCCATGTGGTATTGAGAATTGAACTGGAGCCTCCCACATGCAAAGCATGAACTTGGTCCATCAAGATATTTCTCTGGCCTCATACATCTAATCTTTCGAAGAGTTTCCAAAATTTTTCTCAATGTATACCCAATGTGATTGTACCATTTTACATTCCCACTGGTCAATATTCCTAAGTTCCAGTTGCTCAGGATCTTTTCCAATATACTGCAAGGCCAGTCTTTTTTCCGTTTTTCTCTTTTGGGCCACACCCAGTGATGCTCAGGGTTTTCTCTTGGCCTGCACTCATGATCACTACTGACAAGGCTTGGGGAACCATAGGGGTACCAGGGATCAAATCTGGGGGGTCGTGTGCAACGCAAACCCCTTACCTGCTGTGCTATCGCTCCAGTATGGCCTATCTTTGAATTTGCATACGTTTCCTT